TGCCTCTTCATTACCTTTTTTCGTCGTGTTCATTATGATTTTTATTTTTCTAGTGTTTGTAGAAGACTTGGTTATACATTCAGCGTATTTAGGGGCGTTATCAGCTGAACCATTGGCAGTTTTGGTAGCGGAAAAAAATTAATGAGATTCAGCGTTTTGATTAACTTTCCTCTATGCATTGGGTTATGCATTCGGCGTACTTAGGGGCGTAATTGGCTCAACAAGGGGCAGTTTTGGTAGAGAGAATGGGATTTAATGCTTTGTTTAACTTTCCTCTTTGCATTGGGACATTGGGACATTGGGCTATGCATTTGACGTATTTTGTAGCGTTTTGGGTTTAATAATAGGCAGTGTCCTGATTATAATAGAGAGGTTAAGTGATTAGTTTATCCTTGCTATATATTTTACAAGTTTGGTTTTGAATTTGGCATACCTAAGGGCGTTTTTGGTATCCTCGGAAAAAATCGAGGGGCATTTTGGGAAGAGAAAGGGATAAGGCCATCTATTAGATTCATTTAACCCTTCATATATGGAATTTTGGTGAGTGTGCCATTATGAGCTTTGGATGTAATGTGTGGGTGGGAAGTGGGAACTAGGGAAGGTGAGGTGATGAAAACTTTGGTTAGGCATAGTAGTTGTATCACTTGTATGAATGTTGGATTTTTTATATCAAATTCTAGACCTACCTAAATGTGTTACTAGATAACATTTTGACCTAAAAGCTTATTGTTTTTGGTGCATTATTTTTGTCATCCACCTCTCATTTTTGGTTCTGGTTGTTGATTTTTAAATTATGTGAACAAATTTAGCAGCTGGAAATTTGTTAGAATAATTTATATTTGACGTGTTATTTAATTGGTTTTTTCTTTGGTTCTTCCGATGCTTATTTTTTCTATTCATATTTTGTGTAACGGAAATAGTTTCTCCTTTTTTTATTAGATGTATCACTTTCCCCTTTGGTTAATAAAATCGCTCTATTTCTCTTCTATCACATTGGGTCTTTTTATTATTCTCCCTTTCTACTCCAAAATTGCCTAGAATTTCGCAAATACAAAAATGATGCAACTAAAAAAAATTGGGAGAAGTGCATAAGCAAATGTCAATCTTTCATCACTATACATTATGCGCCCCATAATACAATACTCATTTATCTTCAATATTCGCAGTCAATCTAAAAACATTGTTATATTCGTTTTAATGTATAGTTTAATCAACTTATAATTTATATTAATATGTAATGAATTATCACTATGGTCAAAAGTTTGTTTTGGATACCGCACAAAATGGAAAAAGGCCTAGGATGAAGAGTATTTCGTATAGCAAAGATCAAAATCTATTGAAGTTTTGTGTTGGCTTGGCTACATTTACTTGTTAATTTGTTATAGTCCAAAGTTGATAAACAATGTTTTCGCTTGCGTAAGTTTTGTTACAATCAAGGTGCTTTGTGAAGTATAATTTTGGACCATATACATATATCTTCAAAGGCAAGTTGTCGACTGAATGAGTTGATTTCGTGTCCTTTCAGTATGAATTTTGACGAGCACTTTGAGTGCTTATTATGCGTTTGATGTATTATGCTTGTTAATCATGCAATTTGGCGACCATTACTTTTTGGTTTATGCTTGTTAAGCTAACCTTTTGCTCCTATTGATTTTTAAGAGCGACCATGGCATACTTGAAAAATACATGTATTTGTAGATGCAAGTATTTTATACTAGTCGAAATTGAAGTTAAATGTTTGAGCAAAAATCTTTTACTTTAAGACCTATTTTTTGCACAAGGTAAACGCTTGGGCAATTATGTACGGATCAATACTCAGCATTGGCTACGATTTCCTTAGAAAGTTACATACAAACCGTGTGCTCACAAGGTAAATGCACGGGCAATTATGTAACACACATCATTGGCTATGATTTCCATATAAAGTTATATAAAGATTAATTCGCGTCATTATATTTTTATTACCACCTATTAAATGTGTCGTTTAGATATTTCAATAGTCTTGCTTTTTTAACAGTTAATTTGAATCTATATAATATTTTGCTGGAAAAACATGCAAATAAGAATCCCTTTTCTTCTTCATATTGTATTCTAACGGTCTATTATGAGAAACTCAATTTAACCTGTCACACAATCTATATTGTTAGAGAAAACCTATTTGTAACAACCAAGGGGCAAAAGATCCAAAAAAAACCTTATGTAAGCAATACGTTGTTAGACTCGAGTAAGGGCACTAATAACGCGTTTCGGCCTTTTTATTCAATGTATTGTGAGTTTGTGATACACGTAAAGATAACCACTAAATAATGAGTATATATTTAGGTTGTGAGAATTTATAGGTTTTCTAAGTTGTAAATGTGTGTATTGAGGATTGAGAAAAGAAATTAACTAGGTGGTGAATTGGTTATGGTCTTAGTTGATATATCAATTCAACATGCTAGTGATATTCATTGTTCATGGAGAATTTGGAGGGCCATGTCGAATTACAAAATATGTTGAAGAGGTTTTAAATTCTTTGAATTGGAAAGGGGAAAAACAGGAAAAAAAAAAATGTAAGAATAAGTTCTTTCTTATCTAAGGAAGAATATAAGTATTTTCAATTATACTCTCACGCTTTATAGAACTTGACGTATTTATTAAAAATGTGTTATGTTAATAATAATGTATAAAAATCATGGTTTGATTCCAAAAATATACAAGCACACAGTCTAAAAAATAGGATTACATACATGTTCGAACTGTTAATTTAAAAGTTCTTACTAAAAATTGAAAAGTAGCTTAGACTTATAAACAATAGGATTTAGTTTCTTGATCATTTTTTTTTTGATCCAAGCTTCCTCAACTTATCTACTAATAGCAACTCCAATGGCAAGCTAATTATTAAATTAGCTTGTCATGCCACATGAACTTTTAAGCTAATTGTCATTTTAGGTACTTTGATCAGCTCCAATTGTTAGCTATTAGGTTAATATTTAAAATGAACCCTACCTCCTTAATTTACGCTTTTATGTTTTAAAATATTTACTCTAATTTGTTTTATTTTGGCAAGTTCTTGCCAAGCTAATTTGCTTAACCAAGCTAATTACATTTTCTTGCTCCAACGGTCAAGCTAGTAGTTAGGGATTGTTTAATATTGCAAGCAAGTCCCTATCTATAACCATTGGAGTCGCTCTAAAAGAAATTACGTTAAATAATTAATACCCTTTTATTTTTGGACGGGAACTACGTTAAATACCTGATTATTAGTTTTAATATTTTCTAAAAAAATAATTAATTTTTTATGCAAAATAAGTTGAAAGTCAAACAATCAAGGTTTTTTTTTTTTTTTACCTTCCACTTGAAATTCCTTCTTGTGATCAAAACATTTTACTGTTATTTAAAAAAAAAAAAAAAAACATTTTACTGTAATGATGAACCTAATATTGAAATTTATCGTCCTTCGGCTAAGGACACACAAATTATATAAGTAATGAGTAAATTTGTCATTCAAAACTCATTTTACTTTTACTAATTTCAACAAACAAAAAGTATTAAAATAAGGAAAAGCTTGTGTTATCAAGACTCGAGAGCATCTAGAATGGTGCTTTCATTATAAATTAAACACACAATACTATAAGTCATGACAATTGAATTCACCTTAAATATAATCAATAATATCAATAATATAATACTAAAAACGAATCTGAGATAGAACTTGCCATGTTCTGATTAAAAAATTTCCCGCCACTTTTACTTTTTTTTTTTCGAATCTTCATGCATATTAATATATACATCCTATGATATCTAACTTTTAATTTGGCAGCTATATTCTAAATATAATCTATATGCATTCAATGAAAATATTCTAACATATCTTTCATACATTTTATAATATGTATTTTCTATAATAAACTACATATACTATGTATATAAGGTAATATTATTAGAATAATGTACTACTCCCGTACTCCATATCATTCTACATCGTATTTTTCCTTTGAAAGTTTTTTTGCTCCAACCAGGATTAACACTTTAACTTTTAGTATATATTTGTTGATTTATTTATAATAATAATAATAACACTACAATTCAATAACTATAAATATAAAATAAAAATAAAAATAAATTTGATTATTAATTGTCACAAAAAATAAGTCACTTAAATTTGTATAAAACACTTGTGCCGGTCAAAGTATTCTATAAAATATTGTGCCGGTCAAACACGTGCCAACAAAATAGGGACATATATATGGAGTATATAAGTACATAATTACATTGTACGGTTCCTCAAAAAAAAAAAAAAAATTGCAGGTTATAAATAACATTAACTTTCATTCTTAATATATAAAATCCTATAATCATGAAATTTGTGTTTTTTTTAAATGTTTAATGATCAATACGAGTAACTTTTGATATCAATATAACATAAAATTCAAGTTAGTTTTTTTTTTTTTTGGATTAATACCGTTTTTTAATCCCAACTTTAAGGTGGGTTATCATTCTTCATACCCAAACCGGTCAACAAAAGTCAAAAACCTTCTATTGTAGGTTACTGACACGTGTCGCCACGTGAGTGGTCCATTGTATGGTTTTTTTTTTTATTGAACCAATTTTTTTGTTTAAAAAAAACAGAAAAAAATTTCCTTATTGGTCAAAAAATAAAAAAAAAATAAAAAAAAATCTAAACATCCAGCCACGCAGCCACCAGTGGTTGTGACACGTGTCACTTTAACAAAAAAAATAAAAAATTAACCTATTCAACCGGTAACCGGTTTTTGGGATTGAAGAATGATAACCCACCTTAAAGTTGGGATTATTGAGCAATAATCCAAAGTTGGGATTAATAAAAATAAATTGGTGAAAGTTGGGATTAAAAAACGGTATTAATCCTTTTTTTTTTTGAAAAGAAATTCAAGTATTTGTTTCAATTAAAATATTGATTTCTTCAAAAAAATTATTGTTAAATTAACATAGTAATTCATGATTAGGTTAAGTAAAAACCGTGCGTTGCATGGGACTTAAACTAGTTAAATCAATAAAAGTGGTCCAAACTGTTGGTAAAAAAACTGTTGAAATCAATAATAAATAAACAATTAGAACTTTCCGAGATTGATGATCTCAAACTCTCAATCACGTCGCGGAACAAAATCTATTGCCTTAGAAGCGAAATACGCCACCAACCGGTACAAGTTTTCTAATGACGCACACCCTTCAAGTTTAACGCAACTTTCCTCGTAATTCGTGCACCTAAGCCCGAAAAAATGGAAGTACTCAAGAACGGTTCAGATCTCAAAAGGTAGGTTTGTGTTTGAGTGTTTAGGGTATTTCAATAATGAAAATAACGTATGATGGAAATAATAGCCAAGGAGTAGTATTTATAGGAGTAATAAGAAAAGGAAATAAGCAGCACAAGCCTCACGCAAGGCCCATACCCACGGCAGGGCTGGTGAACTATCGCTCTCTAGCGAGTGAGCTATCGCTCAGCCTTGCCGTAGACTTCATGAGCTGCGAGCTATAGCTCACTCGCTGGTGAGCTCTCGCTCAGAATGCAGCAAGAGTCTGCCAGCAGTAGGCTCTCGCTCGGACCTGCTGCAGGCCATTGCGGGCATCCGAGCTCTAGCTCTCTTGCTAGCTCGGTCTTGCACGGCTCACCAACTTGCATGCTACATCTTTCTCTCGTTAGCTCCTTGCGCACTCACTTGGTAAAACTCCGATTTGCATTACTAGAAATGCAAAAACTCCAATACAAACTTGTATTTGCTCACATCCTGATTTGTGACCAAAGTAGGTTTAATTAGGAAGCCAAAGGAAGTTGGCAAAAACTTCGCTTATTAACTTTCCAATGTGTTACTCCTACAACTCTACAACTCTTAAGAATTTTGAAAGAAAGAAAGAAAGAATTAAAAGCATACACTTGTATCATTGTATGTTGTACTAGTATATGGTTAGAAACTTAGAAGTTAAAACTATAGATTTATTTACCAAAAATTATCAGAAATTCATTTTCCATGAATTAGACATAAATAAATAAATAGAGGGAGATGGAAAACGAGTGGATTGCACATCTGGCCAACTTTGACCTGCAAATTGCTAAAGTTGTTTTTATAAAATTTTTAAATAATATTGTTTGGTTGGTTGAGCGAATGATGTATAGTTTTGTGGCTTCTACCTCCCTTAAAAACTCCAATCTGGATGCCAAGCTACACGCCTCCCAATACCGGCCTTCTATTTATTATTTATTTTTTATTTTTTATTTCATTTTTCATTCAACTTTCAAATTTGGCATTGGTTAATTATCCTTATTGGGCAATTTTTTTAGGAAAATTTAAGAGGAGTAATTCAACTTTTTATCCGTTCTCCCATATTAATCCCACATTTTGATTATTCCTCATTAATTCAACCTTTGCCCCCCATCTTCCCATATCACACCTTGCAGGTCACCTTACCCTTTCAACTGGTTACCCATCCACGTGGCACTTCCTAATTGGTCAATTTTTTATTTTTTATTTTAAAAAATATATTTAATTAAAAATAATAAAAAATGAAAAAAAAAAATCTCTAAACTCCTTCCCCTTTTTCCTTCCCTAACCTTTCTCACTCTTCTTCCTCTTCAGATTACAACCACCGTCACCCCGCCCCCACGCCGCCCCGTCGTTAACCCTCTTATTACCTCGCGTCTACACCCAACCCACCCCTTCTCGTTATTGTCGCTGATACGTCCTCTCTTTTTCTTCTCTTTTTGTTTCATTTTATCACCACCATTAAAGTTTTCAAGTGTGAGGTTTTGATGGTTAAATTTAACCATGATAACTCTAGATATAGTGTTTTCAAGGTTAAATTTAACTAAATAAAACCATAGTTGAAGTTTTTAAAGGTAAGTGTGGGGTTTTTCGGGGTGGTTTGGGTTTTAAATTTGTGTGTGATTTGGAGTTTGCAGTGGTTGTGTTGTGGTTCGTGCCATCATGGTTAGTGAGGTGGTGAGGTTCGTGGTGTTGATAGGTTTTGGTGGGCGTGGGTTATAGTTTGTGGTGGTTGTGGTTCGTGGCAGGTAGGGATGGTATGGGTTAGAGTTTTGGTGGTGGTTGCTGTCGGTCAATGGGGGTTTGTGCGGCGACAGGGAATGGTGAATCTGGTGATGGTGTGTTGAGGTTGGTGGGTAAGGAAGGGGAAGGGAGGTGAGGTGTTAAACTGATAATGGAAAGGAGATGAGAGAGAATGAAGCTAAAGAGAATGGTTGGTGGTGGTGGGTTGATGGTTTCGGCTAGGTCAGGTTAGTGGTTTTGAGTCGAGGTAGGAGTGCGGGAAGGGTTTCCGGTCTGGGTTTGGGTAAGTGGGTTAAGTGGTAGAGGAGGTGGTGGTGGTGGCTAAGTTGCGGGTGATTGCAAGAGGGTGGCACGTGGCTGGCTAGCTGGTTGACAGGGAAAGGAGGGAGTAGTGGGACGACTTGTTTGACGGGGAAATAGGGTAGGTTGACGGTGAAGTGAGGTGGTGGCGGGAAGGTGTAGTTGTGGTTGTTTTGGTGCTAGTGGTGGCCAAAGGTGTAGTGGTGGTTGTTTTTGGTGTAAGGTGATCAAGGGTGGTGAACGGAGGTGGAGCTTTGGGTGGTGAACGGAGGTGGAGCTTTGGGTGGTGGTAATGGAGGAGGATGATGGAAAATGGTAAGAGGAAGGAGAGGGAAAGGGATGACCTGTTGTTTTGGTAACTGGTCATTTGGGTTCATTTTGGGAAGAAGGGGGGGTAAAGGTTGGATTAATGAGAAATAATCAAAAGGTGGGATTAATATGGGAGAACGGACAAAAGGTTGGATTATTCCTGTTAAAATAAAATAAAATAAAAAATTCCCACTGTATTTCAATTATTCCTTTATATTTTAACTTCTGATTCAATATGTTTTTTTATGGAAATTCTAAATTAGGTCCTGCTTTTTCGAGCTTCTAGATAGGGCAGAGCAGAGCAAATTTTAGCAGAGCAGAGTTGATTTCTGCAGAAATAAGCAGGCAGAACAGAGTAGAACAGTTTAAAAGAACAGGGCCTTAGTATTGTATATATGTATTAGTTAAAAAATTATTGTATACATGTATTTGTTCAATAATTATTGTATACATGTACCAATAAAAGTGTTGGCTCACTTGATAAGTTTCTTACTTCTAATCCTAAGACCAAAAACCCATAAGGATTGAGGTCTAATTAAAATTCTCCTTACCATAGAAAAAATAAACAAATATTATTGTATACATGTAGTCATTCATAAATACATTATATTGTGTACTTGTATAGAATTAGTGACAAAGTGTGTTAGTCAAACTTGTGTAACTTTGTAGGGTTAGTTATTTGTCGATATTAAAGCTACTCATGGCTTAGAAAGAGTTCGAGGGTGATCAAATTTAGATAAGATGGGCTTTGTTTTCCTTACAATTAGCATTTATTTTATCAAGAGTAAATTTCAAATATTGCATACAAGTTAACTTAAGAAATTAAGTAAAGATAAGTTAGGTTCAAATATGTAAACTTACTAAATAAGGGAGAAATGAATGAGGCTTTAGCCAACTAGACTTGTTAGGCTTATTAGCCAACTTGACTTATTAGGTTACTATCATGATTTTTGACCCATTAAAAAATAACAAAATGAATTATACAGGTAAGTTTGCGCTCAAAAGACAAAAACAAGGCTGGCCTAGTGGTTGGAGGCCTCCTTCCATCCTTTGAGATGGGTTCGATTCTCACCTTAAGCAAATAGGATTTCTAATTTTCCCCCAACTTGCAAGGGAATTCTCCTTACCTTTAAAAAAAAATTGCGCTCTAAATACAAAAACAACATAAAATAAAAATTAAGAGCTTATTTGATCTTCATATAATTCAATATAACGTTCTTTTGTCACAACTTTATGAAATTATGATTCTAAATTTTATTTTCTTTCAAGAAAATAGCGCACATCAACTATCAAATGTAGGATTTAAGTATTATATAGTATTAGTTAAACTTGTTTACCAAAGTTGATGAGCATATAATTTAGAATTGATTGCTCAAAGTCAAAGGTTGATGAAACTTGATCTGACTTGCACTCTTGTAGCGATCTTGGCCATAATTGGATCATATTGAAGAATGAAGAACGGCCTTTGTTGATGAGAAGATGGAGGACACTAATGGAAACCTTTTTATTTTTGGTCTAAATTAGAAACTTTATTAATTAATTCGGTCCATAAATTTGATTAGGATTAAGTCTAATCATTTATAGTCTCATTTGTCCTCATTCTCAAATAATGTCGAAAGGAAGAAAACCAATACACTCACCACCTCTACATTACTTCATATATTAAATAATTATATATATTATATACATTCAATTATTCACAAAGGTATTCATAGGTGTTGGATGATAAGATAGGACTACTACTCTCAGGCAGAAGCCAGAATTTTTTTATTAGAAGGGCCAAACTTAATAAATGTTTTAATATTTCAAGGACAGATATAATATTCAAATGATGTGAAAAAATAGTGAGATCAAGTTTTATTAAAAAAATTAATGAAAATGTATGGAAAAGGGAATCTAATGCCTAGGGTTGTGGTTTAACTTATTACTCCCTCCGTTTTCGTAAAAATGTTGCACAAGCTTTTAGAAAAATTATAGGGTAGGGATCAAAAGATGAATATTATAATATAATATATAGTTAGATATATTTAATTGTTAGTAGGAGAAAATAATAATAATAATAATAATAATAATAATAATAATAATAATAATAATAATAATAATAATAATAATAATAATAATAATAAAGTAGTGTAAGTAGAGGTGGCATGAGAGAGAAATAATAAAATAGTGGTGGGTCCTTATCAAATAAGGTGAAAATTGTATAATACACCAGAGTGCACCATGCTCATGGTGCACCTGGTGATGTGGCATAACTAATTAGCATTAAATTAGTGGAAAATAAAAAAAATTAGTGGAAAATAAAAAAATTTGGGCGAAATTATAGGGAATTATTCCCTTTAAACTACTTTCAGTTTTAAATTATTATCCTTAATGGACATTTTCCATTTTAAAAACATTTTAAAGACATTTTTGGGTTTCAATAATACAAAATATGTTCTTTGAGATAACGAGTGACGTATAAATTCTTTTTTGAATTATCATATATCATTAATTTTTATTATCGTATGTTCTTTGAGTTTGATCAGTGTGTTCTTCAGGTATGAATTATATGTTTTTTTACATTATATTTTATGCTATTTTAACATATTTTGAATATTGAAATTTAATTTGAAAATGAAATCTTGGTTTTTTCTTAGTTGAAAATATTTTAGAGAAAGAAAACTAAAATTATTATGGAAAGTTAATTTTTGGAGAGAGAAAAAACAATTTTTGGGAAATGATATCTTTAGTAAAGATTTTTTCCGTTAAAGTGTAATCTTTCATAAAATTTTAATAAAGTTTTTATCACGTTCTTTTGGTAATGTCTTTATGTTCTTTAATAATGCATGTTCTTTGTTAAAACACAAATATGTTCTTTTTCAAAATCCTGCATGTTCTTTTTCAAACAGCTAAATGTTCTTTCTGCCTTTTATTTTATTTAACCAGGTGCACCATGTGCATGGTGCACAAATCATGCATTGCAAATAAGGAAGTGTTACAATTATTATGAGATAAATGTAAAAAAGAAAGTGTTGCGATTATTACGAAACAGAGTGAGTATATGAAATATTCGTAAAAGAAAATCTCTACGAAATACTTAAAAACAATCTTACAAAAATGTGAGGAGCAAGTCTCGAACTTGTGGCCCCCAAATAGATTACTTTACTCTACTACCAACTCAGCTATAATGCATTTAACATAAATTTTGCTACATTTAATATATAATCAAAACCAAGGGGGAGGCCATGGCCCACGCCATCCCCTCCTCGATTCCGCCACTAACTACTCTTAGGAATGAATTTTATCACGGACAAAAAGATTGGGGGCGTAATTAGTTCGATTTGGCCTGTTTTGTTCAACTTATTTTCATTTATTTCAGATTTAATAAGATTAGATAAATTAAGTTCAGGAAAAATAAGTTTAGAGTTCAGATTAGTTCAGTTTAGGAAAAATAAGTTATGATAAGGGTTACTCAAGTTTAAATTATAACTAAAATAAGTTTTAATAAGTTCAGATAAATAAAAATCAGATAAATAGTACACACCATTAGTATCACTCATCAAATTATACAGACATGAAAGTTGAAGTATGATCGAAATCCTTTACCGCACCTTAAAAAATATCGGTAAAATTTTCGCTTAGTAATATTCAATGGTAATCTGAACTTGTCTAAGTACACTTATAACTAAGTACACTTGATGTGGATCGGATAATAGAGAAGAAATGAAGAATATGCTTCATGCATATGCATTAATGGATAATGTGGATCACATGATCCTCTCGTTTTTGTGATTATTTCTTTCACATGATTTTGCAGTTTTTGTATTTTTATTATATGTGTTAGATTGAGGAGGATGCTGATTTAGTTGCCCACTTGGATAAGGCTAGATAAGGTCATAAGGGATGTTTCTTTATTAACTTTTGTTTGTTATAAGAGTATTATTTTATTCAATGGAGAAATAAAAAATTAAAGAGCTTAGACTACAAATAAATTATATTAGCACTACGTATAATTAAATTCATTTGTCTATACTTCATCACTCTTATCTTAAATAATTAGGTATGTTACATACATGGTATATAATTTATTGATTGGTTGAATATGAAAAAGAAATTATAGGTTGAAGCATCATCACCATATGACTCCTCAAACATTACACATGAATGAATTATAGAAACTATTGATATTGATTCAATGATGAATAACTCAAATACGAGTTAAGGATAATTACAAATTGAATATTAGTTCTAAAATATAAGCCCAATTGGTTTGTATAAAGTAAATTAAGATCTTGAGCTATTGGTAGATCAAAGGAGAGACATACCAACATTTTGAAAATGATATGTGTAAGGTTGATGTGACAAGTTGCTTAGAGCACGATGTCAGTAAATGTTGATTGTCTTAAGAAAGGCTCGTTTAAACTAGTATTAGAATGTCATTAATGGAGGGACGAAGAAAATTAATGAGGGTATTTATGCTATGTAATCCTAACATATTTCAATCAACAAATAAATGAGTAATTTGTTTCATAATTCATGAATTCCCAATTAACAACTAATTTTCAATCCGCTCTCAAATCCGAAAACTCTTATTTTTCAAGTCTCATATGCAAAATAAAGCTTTTAGGCCTGGCAATCTAATAATCAGGGATCGTAGAATTGATGGAGGATTGAAGCCTTGAAGGCTCAATACCTTTTTTGTGTGTGTATGTGTGTGTATAGAGAATGTTGCAAAGGACACTAATGTAGATAAACACTTTAACCAACTAAATAAGCCGAAATTCACAAGTTCAACAATCAATATATTGCTCATTCATTGCTATATAACGACACATTTTGTTTTTTTTGGGCTCTACAATTCGATTGGCATTGCTAAATAGTAAATTTATCTGAATCTGATGGGCCTTCGTAGTTAGTCTGGTTGACTTTTTGGATTTTTTGGGCTTATTGGGCTTGCCTTTTTCAGGCCATTAAAAGGCTTGATGGGCCTGGGTATTATTACAGGTCTCAAGAGTAAGAACTATAAAATCATGGCCCCAAACCTTAATCCAGTTTAGTACAGTTGCACAACCAAGTTTTTTTTCGAAGTATATTATTTTATTATTATCACTATTAATTTTTTTATTTTTTATTTTTTTTCAACTTAGCACAACTAAACTTTAAAAATTGATTATTAACAATTTAATTTTATTTGAGAGGTATATTAAGGTTATCAAAATAGATTAGTCTTAAATTGGTACTCATCTCCAAAAATTGTACTCTTAAGAATCCGCAATAATTTACAAAGTTAAGCAACTAAAAAAACGGAGGAAGTATTTTCCATTTCATTTTTTTTTACGAATTATAAGATTTTAGAAATTAGAATTTGAGATAATAATATAGAGTATATAAGAGCTGATTAAGTTATGATTAATATCAACTAGCTACGATTAGATCTAAAAAAGGGTACATAAGTTTTGATAAGTGAAATCCCGATTAGAAACACACAATCGTAGGATTCGTAGTACATGCATTATCCACCTTGTATAGCTGTGAGTTGTAAATTGTAATGCCGTCCTTTGGAGAAGTCTTGTATTGCTACGTACTTTTTCAATCTCATTTCTCACAACTCGATTGTACTTAGAAAATGTTGAAACTGTACTTTCCAAGTTTCCTACAATTATTATCATTTCTCAAAATGAATTCAGACACATCACGTATCCAATTTTCCTTGAAATCTAACAGAAAAGGACATTGATTCTTATAAATTAATTGTGACAAAATTCACATTTGCTTCATTCTTTTCACACTCTTTCAACTTTCAGCACCTTTTAGTCAATTTTTTTTTTTTTTTTTTTAAAAATACTACTTCATCAAACAAATTCTAATACAACTTTTACATTCACAAAAACCAAATTATACAGACAATACAATGTTTTACAAGGGGTTGAAACTAGCATTAGACAACAATCAGATTTCCATACGAAAGAAATCATACAATAATGTACTAGCATTAGACAAGGTGATAAACTTTCAAATATTATTATATCCACTTGGGTGTAATTGTTGCATACGCTATTATGGGATGTTCAATTCACATTCCTAATATTAGTCTTAGTTTATTTATTTATTTATTTATTTTTTATTTTTAAACGTACCTTAGCTTTCAGTGTATTTTTCTTTTCTTTCATTTTCTATTTACTAGTTTTTTCCCGAGACAGAGAGACTTTTAGATTCTAGTAGTCTATCCCTGAAATAAGGGTTCATTAGATCCGTGTACTCTATTCCTACTTAAAAAAATATGATGACTAGGGAAAAGATAATTATATAAAACATCAAAAACCATGTGATTAGGCCTTGTATTACTATTGATATTGACCAACCTTACCTTAAAGCTTAATATAGCCAATACATACAGTAAAGTTGACTTTTCTAACAACTTAAACCTTTTTGTCTAAGGTTCTCAGCCACCAAGGCATAAATGCCTATAAATAGTCATTAAATGAAGATTAAGATTTCATGGTACATTTACTTATTGTACACTCACCATCAAGCGCTAACGTAGGTATTAGAAGAGATTTCCTTTGAATAACAATCGAGGTTAGCTTACATACGTGCTTGTTTGTATTGGTTCTTAAAACCAAAACATGTCCAAATTTATTTTACAAATTAAAATTATTTCGTATCCTGAAACACAGTGAAATAATCGGATTATATTTTGACAACTTTGTTTATTGATAGGAGAACAACTAGTATCAATTACAAAAACTACTATAAGAAGTTTAGAATATCTAATTAAACTATAGAGTAGTCGGCATTAACTAAAGACAACCAAATAAGAGCATAAAATCTAATTGCCAAATACACCAAAACTTTTGTGATCCACAATAAAACAAAGGGTCCCATTCGTCGTTTTAGTGGCCAAAATTTTATTTCACACTATCTATCTTTCCCTTCTTTTCAATCATTGTACATATTAATCTACTTATCAAATATAAAAACACTTATCAAATTTTTATTCTACAAATAAAAAAAAAAAAAAAAAAAATGGCAGAAGATGAAGTTTTGATTTCCAAACACCAAAATAAATCATATAATCGTAGCTTATCTCATGCTAACGATGAATTATGTACTGTTCGTTCTTATTTACGTTACATGTGCGTAGACCAATCAACTATATTCAATATTATTCTTTCATGGACCGTTTTCATCATTTTTACCATCATAGTTCCTGCATTTTCCCATTTTTATTTGGGTTGTCAAGCTTGTGATGCTAAGCACCATCGGCCTTACGACGGTATCGTGCAGCTCTCGCTCTCTAGCATTGCAACGTTGTCGTTTTTATGCTTGTCTAAGTTTGTGAGGAAGTTTGGTGTTCGGAGGTTCTTGTTCTTTGATAAGCTTGTTCATGAGAGCAACTCTGTTAGGAGTCACTACACTTCACAACTTGACGTAAGTTCCTTAATTCTCTTAGTTATTATAGCTAGATTGTAGATTTTTTTTTTATTTAATTATGATTAGTATGAGCACTTGGAATTAAATAGTTTTTTACATTATTTTTACTCGTCTTTTATTGGAATGAGTTGATTGATCGAGTTTAATTAAATTTTTATTTCATCAAATAATCAACTCTTTAACACGTTAAATTATCTATTTCGGATATATATGAGTTTCTAAATGAGTAAAATCAGATTGTGACATTGTGTAAAGTGATCTTGTATTCTTGAACTTTAGTGGTACTATAATATAACAGTAGTAAGAGTATGATTTAAGTCTACATTTGTTAGATTGTGTTAGGTGAGGCTTGATTATTGATTTGGGTGAATATTGTTGCTAGATTTGGTCCTTTCTACCTTCTTGTTATGACTTTTGAGACCAATGATAAGGAGAAACATTACGAAGTACGAGGCATTATTGGAATTAGGAAGATCGAAATGAAGAAATTTTACTAATTAAGTTGATAAGAAATACTATGTATTTTATCTTATCATAAAGATAAATAGAAATATGATGTTATATATAAAATTCGTATGTATAAAGGAGTAAATTAAAAAAGTTTATAAGAATTCTAAACTCTCACCAAAACATCAACTAATTCTTATCTTCTATAGTTACTTTTGAAAACAATATTTTTTATCCTTCTTATCGGCTTGTAGTTCATTTCATTAGTTAACTCCGATCAATCAATTTCATCTATATTTTTTCAGAAGTGGTAAAGCATTTAAGTATTATTATTTGCCAATAAATGATTTACACTTTGAGGACGACATAAACTCATCTTTACAACCTATTTCGTTTAAACAAAGATATATTTTTAATTATAATTAATTAATTATCAGTGTCTTGCATTATTACTTTCTACTTTCAGCCTTTCGGGTTACGACACCTAAGCCGTGGAAAGGATCTCGTCCTCAAAAGAACAAGCTTCCCATGACCCCCAGTTTTGCTTTCAATTTACAAAGTATCTCATTCCAACACAACATGTGGCATCTAATGCGGATGAGATAGATAAACCTTTAATTTTCTATAATAATGAGTTTGACAAAATTATGATTTCTTTATAAAATGATGAAAATGACAACATGCTAATGTGTTACATTAGAGTATTAGACCTACCTATATAAAACAAAACAAAAAAAATAGCACAACTTATCACAACTTTATTCAATCTTCCTATCATATAAATTGTTTACCAAACCCAAAAAACACAGTAGATAAAAATTGCAAGAAACAAACCAAAAAAAAAAAAAAAATGGAGGAAGAAGATTTAATACCCAGAAATCAAAAAAAGTGTTTTAATCGAGTATTATCTCATGCACAAGATGAATTGCAAAGTTATCGAATTTATCTACGTTGGATGTGCGTGGACCAATCAGATTGGTTGAATACATTGATATCATGGTCTGTATTTCTGATATTTGCAATCATAGTCCCTGCATTTTCGTATTTTTACCTCACATGTCCTTCGTGTGATGACAAGCATAGACAACCATACGACGCCGTTGTGCAGCTCTCATTGTCAAGCATTGCAACGCTGTCGTTTCTTTGTCTTTCTCATTTTGTGAGGAAGTTTGGTGTGAGGAGGTTCTTGTTCTTTGATAAGCTTTACAATGACAGTGATTCTGTTAGGCATCATTATACTTCCCAGCTCAAAGTACGTTTCTAATTTTGGAGGATTTTTTGAATAATTTTTGTTAATGTTTTAGTATTTTTGATGATTTTTGAGGTGGGGTTTGACTGTTGAATTGCATGATTTGATGGGTGATTTTGGTTTTTTGGGTTACTTTTGGTGTTTTAATGGGATAGTGACGTAGATAAGATTTGATCAGAGTTCGACTTCCTGGGACTTTGACCAAATAACTAAGCTTTTATGGTTTTTTTGGGTTTATTGATTGATTGAATTGGGTGATCTTGTAGTTGAGTTCAAAGTTTTATGGTGTTTTAATCTTTTAATTTGATGGGCTTTGAGTGGTAACTAATTTTAATCTGGTTGAAATTTATTGCTGCATCTGATTCCTTGCTGTAGATTTGATGGTTGATTCAATTGGGTGTGAATTTGTTTATTTTTTGTGGCCTTGTGGGTATTTTTGTTATTCTGAGTTTATGGGAAAGTCAGAAAATGGACCAATTGGCAATTGTTTAAGGAGTATATTATTGTTGTAGATTGTATTTTGCACATTACACATTAGAGTACATAGAAAGATATGCTTTAAGTGAGTTACACTCCTTGGATAAGACGTATTCTTCATAATAAAACAAAGAAGATTTTTATGTGAATAAGGAGTTTAGTATAATGGAAGGACCAAGATTTTTGTTGTTGTTGTCGTAGTGGCCATAGTCGTGGTTGTCTTAGGTGACACTCCTATAGTAAAAACCAAAGAAGATCCAAGTTTGATACTTGGAGGGTTTGGAAACCTCTTGTCATATATGCTTTGGAGGAAAAAGTTTAGCTGGAACGGGGTCAACTGTTAGTTTAGCAATATGCTTGACATAAAAAGCAGAAAAATGAAGTAAATTAGGAGTACAAACGTAAGAATAACAGCAATCTACAGATCATTGTGCTGCTTTTTGGCTGCATACTTGGCTTTAATTTTTGAGTAGCTACTTCAGTTACTACAGGCATTTCTTGCTAAATGCCTTAAATTGGGTACGTTATTACTGTGTGCGAAAGTGGCATTCTGGCATATTTAGCTGACCATTAGATCATTGTGCTGCTTTTTGGCTGCATACTAAAGGAGATGGACCTAATGAGCGATGCATCATCGATGTTTGGAGACAATAGTTATGGATATACTCAACCTATTACTGCTTATACTAGCGAAACCACAAGACTTCTTTAAATGTCCTACCATCCCGTCGATACAACTTGGAAGTTGGCATTTGCACAATGGCAGCGGATTATTTCAGAAACCAGGAGTCATATCAGACTGATTAAATTTTAACCTCCTAATTTCTCTTTTACGCCTTTGTACCTTCTCCAGGGCTCCAGCTACACGAATCCATGTGGCTGGAATGCCTAAATCATTTGGCCATTAAAACCCAGATCAATCAATTACGACTTTGTGCTTCACAAACTAGGCCTGGTTGAGGATCCCAACAAAAATTTGCTACTAGTCAAGTGAAATTTCTTATGTTCTTCACTATTTACAAACTTCCAACTATAATGTCATTGTGAATTGATTACTGATAGTAGTAATGATGAATTAACATTTTTTTTTTTTTTTTTTTTTGGTTTATGCAGAGATCATTGAACATTCTGTGTATATTTGTTATCCCATGTTTTGTAGCTGAATGCGCATATAAAGTCTGGTGGTATGCTACTGGGGCCTCCCGAATTCCCTTCTTGGGTAATGTCATCTTGAGTGATGTTGTAGCCTGCTCATTGGAGCTAATCTCATGGATTTATCGGACCTTAGTCTTTTTCCTGGTCTGCGTCCTCTTCCGTCTGATATGCTACCTCCAGATATTGCGGCTGAAGGATTTTGCGTCTGTTTTTGAGGTAGATTCAGATGTGGCTTCTATTCTAATAGAGCACCTGAGGATCAGGAGGCACTTGAGGATCATAAGCCATCGTTACCGTGCATTTATTTTATTTTCCTTAATATTGATCACTCTGAGCCAGCTTACTTTCCTGGTGTTGACTACCAAACCTAATGCTGATATGAGCATATTCAGGGCCGGGGAACTAGCAGTGTTTCGGTTGAAAACAATGGGACCTTGCCGAAGGTCCACTAAAATGGAGAAGACTGGATTCGATCCAAGCTGTGTTGGGCCGAAGGTTTCCTGCACAGTGAACACACGTAAACTAGCCTCGGGGGTGTTTCCGAGGAAGGCCCCTCCGATGCTAAAGTCAGTACAATGTGTAAAAAGGAAGACACTATGCAAGAGAGTTTGTAGCTTGAGGCTTTTGTGGAGTATTTCTCAATGCAAGAATGAGCATATGAGTTGGAATAATCCGTGTATGAGATAATGCATGTGTTGTTGTTGTGTCTGATCTCGTATGTGATGTTATGAGATGTCGTTGTGTCTGATGTAAGAATATGACTCTCCCCTTGAATGTGTTAATATGAGGGCTTTTATACCTCATCATACTTGGAGAGGTTGGGCTTTAGCCCAATTGGCTTACTTTGTGGGCTGACTTTTGACTTTTGAGCAATTGGAGAGTTGAACCTTGACCTTGGGCTTTTAATTGGATCATTTAGTGCCCAGGCCCAATTTTGACTAAATTGGACCCAAACAACTTGCCCCCCAGACCCGATTCGGAAGGATGACGGGTCGGGTTTGATTTAACTCAGAAAAGGAGGGAAGTAAATGATTTAATTGATCCAAAAATTTGAATTTAAACCGTAATTAATGAGATAACAACGGTTAATGATTTGCGGAAGTTGGACGGATAATGGGCGGTTTAATCACAAGACATGTGTTTAATGGTTACTTAGTGGGTACTTAAGAGAAATTAAAGCACAGACTCTTCGTATCCCGTACCTGGAGATATAAACAGAGGCGCGTCATTCTCCTCACTTATTCACCAACACAAACCCAGAATTCTTCGAGAGAGAATCCAAGAATCCGTATCAAAACTTCGCAAATTCCCCCGAGCATTGAGCTTAGAAACTGAGACTTGCCACTACGAACTCGTAAACCGGCAACTTTCGCTTCAGATTAAGGTAAATTCCTTTGATTTCAGTTTATTTTTCTTCGAATTCGAACTCCTTCCCCTTTTCTTTCGACTTTTCTCTTCGAAATAGTCCATGGCAAGAGGAGTTAGAGGTAGAGCCCGTGCTCCAAGAAGAGCAAGGCCGATTCCCGATCCTAGGAATAGGATTGGGACCTGGAATGGTCGAAGGCCGGAGTCTGACCCTGCTGATGGGATTAGGGCGACTCCCCTTTCCTCGGCTCCTCCTCAAAGAACGGATGAGCCGAGTGCTTCTGGACGGGACGATGAAATTCCCGCTGTCCTTTGGGATATCCTCCCTGGGTTTTCAGAGTGGGAGAATGCCGAAGTCGCTTCGGCCATGATAAAGAACCGCCCCTACTCATGGTGGGTAGAGAACGCCGATCAATATCGATTTGCCGAGCAAATTGAGTTGCACTACGGCATTTTTGAAGCTGATGGATATTGGTGCCGAATGCCCTCAGCATCCGATAGAATCCATCGTCCACCCCCGGGGTATGTGGGGGTGTACACGAGACAGCTTCAGTATGGGCTGAGGTTCCCTTTGGACGTTTTCGTCCGAGACTTGCTGATCCATTACAACATTTCCCTATGTCAGCTAACCCCCACCAGCATCCGAAGGGTGATGACATACTTATGGGTCTGCAAGTTCTTCAGATACGTGCCGAACCTGCACTGCTTCAGAAAGCTCCATCGGCTAGTGCCAAATATTCAGAGTGGGCACGGAAGCCATGGTTCTGGGTGGTATCGGATTGAGTCCCGGCCCCAATATTTGACCATGTGGCCAAATGACTCTTCAGACAAGGATTGGAGAGGTCAATGGATTTGGGTTAGGGCACCCATAGATCCGGGCCACCCTTGTGTCTTCAGCGCTCCCCGGTACTTAGCTGAGCCTGATCCCGAAATGGGAAGTCTAGGTCCCCCCGCAGATAACGGGTCGGATCCGAACCTGGATCAGCAACATATCTTCGGCAAGCTGCCGAACCCGGGGGGAAGTGGTCGAATGCAGCATATCCCGGAGACTTGGCTCCCCGATACGCATTACGTTTTCCAAGAGAACATGCTAGCAGCTGTTGGCCTCAGCCGAAAGTTTAAGGATGGTAAGCTTCTTCGGCTGGGGCCGAGGCTTTTTAACTACCTTTTTCTTCTCTCGCTTTGCTTTTTTATGCTGTGCCATACCTGAGCTAAACTTTTTCCCTTTCCTTTTTTCAGAGCGGGACGAGACCAACGTTGGTATTAACTACGCTCGTCTTGGTGTTAACCGAGAGCGAGTTGTAACTGAACGGGCCCCGTCTATCACTGAGCCGAGGCATAGGGAAGTTCATCTGGACTCTTCCCACTTCCAAATTGAAAAAAGAAGAAAAGAAAAAAGTTGTCTGAAAGCTCACCGAGGTTTTCAGCAAAGCCTCGTCTTCTTCAGCTGCTCTAGCTGCAGCTTCGGCTTCAGCAGCTCTGGAGGACCCTTCTCCTCCTTCACAAGCCTCAAGTACCCGTGCAACCTCTTCGGCTGTGCGGGCAGCTTCAGCTTCCTCGTTCAGCAGCTGAAACCAAGGGTCTCTCTTCTTCCACCAAGGCTGTTGCTCTGTATCAGAGGCAGAAGCCTTGGTGGAAGAAGAGAGACCCTTGGTTTCAGCTGCTGAACGAGGAAGCTGAAGCTGCCCGCACAGCCGAAGAGGTTGCACGGGTACTTGAGGCTTGTGAAGGAGGAGAAGGGTCCTCCAGAGCTGCTGAAGCCGAAGCTGCAGCTAGAGCAGCTGAAGAAGACGAGGCTTTGCTGAAAACCTCGGTGAGCTTTCAGACAACTTTTTTCTTTTCTTCTTTTTTTTTTTTTTTTTTACTCACACTCTTCTTCCCCCTGTCTGTTACAGTCTGAAGAGAGTAACAGACACAGAGAAGGCAAAGCTCCTGTTCGTCCCGAAGATCAAATACAAGAGTCTTCAGACTCAGATATGGACGAGCAGCCCCTTCTGAAAAGGCGCCGAAGGATGGCCATCATCGGCCCTCATGACTTTCAGCAGAGGCCGATGACCATCGGCGTCGCAATAAGGGAACCTGAGGAAGGCAATGGATCGCCGAGGGTTCCCCAGCCAACACCCCAATCTCCTCAAAAGACCCCTCCGCCACCTCCTGAGATGGAGGTGGATCAGAGGACTCCCGAACCTAAGGGAGTGGTCCAAGAAGAAATCAAGGAGAGTGCTGCTGAGCACGGAAATAAAGATGCCGTGATGTCAAGTGCTGAAGGCTTCACGGCAGATATCGCAAGAGAGGTTGAGGCTTTCGTCCTCACCCCTGAAGAAGAGGAGGTCATAGTACTTGACTCCTCTGAGAAGGACGATGCTGAGACAACCAAAGCTAATCAAGCTCCATCGTCGTCCTTCCCTTCTTTCCAGACTCTGCATTCTGGAGAAATGGGTTTCTCGGCCCCCCGAATTCCAATCCCAGATCACATCTGGGACCTCATATGGGGTCAAAACCGAGAAGGAGCTGAAGCCTACTTCGGCAGTTTTGCTGGCATGTCCGAAGTAGACAGGGCAAGGATCTGGTCGCTGAAGGCCACTGCTGGGATGGGCGAATCCAGTAGATCAGTTCCTGACCCAGCCAGGTCTAACCAACTGCTGATGATGCAGGTAATTTTCCTTCATTCCCTCCGAAATTCAGCTCTATTTTTTTTTATTGCTTATTTTTTTTTTTTTTTTTTTTTTTTTGTCTTCCTGTTTTCAGTTCGTGCACAATCAGACTCTCACTGTAGAGCTGATTGATACCCTACAAGATAGGGTAGACGCTGCTGTGCACGAAAGGAAGGTGGCTGAAGAGGAAGTTAAGCTTGCTAAGCTGAAGCAAGCAGCAGCTGAAGAGAAGCAGCAGGAGGTTGAGGAGTACGGTAAAAAAGCTGCCGAAGCTCTGAAAACCTTCTGCGATGCTATGGAGATGGAGGTTTTTCCCCCACTGATGGAAGGGGAAAAATTCCTCCAGGAGCATATGGGAGTGGACGTCTCCAAATTCAAGGCTGCTATTGAGAGCCGAATTCAAGAAGGAACTGCTGCACAAGCTGAAGTGCAGCAGCGTCTAGAGGCTCTTGAAGCCAGCCGAATGGCTGCTGAAGAGTTGCTCTTGGCCAAAGACGTCCAACTCTCAGAGGCTGCTGCTGCTGCTGAAGCTCAAAGAGCTAAATTCCAAGAGGCTGAGGATCAACTGCTGATCCAGAAAGTTGAAGTGGCCCAAGCTCAGACAAAGGCTTTCCAAATTCAGCAAGAGCTGAATGAGCTGAAGGGGTCCTCCTCCAAAGTCGCTGAACAGCTGAAGAAATCCAAGGAAGACTTGGAGGAGACCCAGAAGAAGCTGGCTGATGCTGAGGCTTCACTCAAGGTCCGTGTTTATACCCAAGAGGAATATGAGATGGGTTTCAGAAACGGATTCCGAGTATGCCGAAGACTCTGCCTTCATGCTGAGCCGAAGCTGGACTGGTCTAAATGTGCTGAGTGGGTCCAGAATCCCGAAGACCCTCACATGAAGTATGCAACTCCAGCTGAAGCTGAAATTCTTAAGGCTGAGGAAGCCGAAGAGGAAGCTGAAAGACTGGAGTTGGAAGCTGAGCAGAGGGAAAGGGAGGCTCGGCAAAATGCAAAGCCCGCCTCTTCGGCTGCTGGGGCTGAGGCCATCATGGGACTCAACGCTGATCAGTCTGATCCCCCGGCTGAAGCATAGGAACTCGGGCAGTCGTCTTCAGAATCTTGCGGTTCATCATGTGCTTAACTTTAGACTTGCCGCTTTCTGAGTTTTTTTGCCTTGTTTTTTGCTTCAGCTTGCCTTGTCGTACAGCAGTTTTATTTTTTTGCTTATGTACGTATTTCGGCAGCTGTTATTTTCCGCTTGTGGGCGGCTGCCGATACTGTATTATTGAACTTGTAGCTCAAAATTTTTTTTTTTTTTCAGTTGCTTTATTTTTGAATGCTTTACTGTTTCTTTTCTTCAACTCTGCCGAACATAGCTGCACTGCGTGCTTCTTGCCCCCACAGAAATTGAAGTATGACTTTAGTTGAATAAGCAATTTCTGAACTTCTTCAAAATTGATATCCGAAACACAGGGCCAACTGAAGGCAATGCTTCTGGGATACAAGTCTTACTGAAGATTGACTGTCTGAAAGTTGGATATCCGAAACACAGGGCCAACTGAAGGCAATGCTTGGGATATTAGCTTTCTGGGACTAACCTCTTTAGAACAAGTCTTACTGAAATTTGACTTCAGCTGAAAGACCAGCGTTCTTAAAGAAGACGTATATCCGAAACACAGGGCCAACTTAAGGCAATGTTTCGGATAATGGCTCTCTGGGATACAAGGCTCAGTTAAGGCAATATCCCAGGATTGTCCATGGACTCGTGTCTTTGGAGAACAGGTCTTACTGATGTTTGATTTCAGCTGAAAGACCAGTGTTCTTTAAAAAGACTGAGTTTTGTAAGCCATCTGAAACCCAGTTACCCGAAGGCGAAGGTTTCAGACGAGGCTGATTTAAAAAGGCTGTTATCCTTGATTTTCTGTCTATCTTTGAAAAATGGATACCCGAAACACAGGGCCAACTTAAGGCAATGTTTCGGATAATGGCTCTCTGGGATACAAGGCTCAGTTAAGGCAATATCCCAGAATTGTCCATGGACTCATGTCTTTGGAGAACAAGTCTTACTGAAGTTTGACTTCAGCTGAAAGACCAGTGTTCTTTAAAAAGACTGAGTTTTGTAAGCCATCTGAAACCCAGTTACCCGAAGGCGAAGGTTTCAGACGAGGCTGGTTTAAAAATTTTCAACTGTTGCTGTTATCCTTGATTTTCTGGCTATCTTTGAAAAATGGATACCCGAAACACAGGGCCAACTTAAGGCAATGTTTCGGATAATGGCTCTCTGGGATACAAGGCTCAGTTAAGGCAATATCCCAGAATTGTCCATGGACTCATGTCTTTGGAGAACAAGTCTTACTGAAGTTTGACTTCAGCTGAAAGACCGGTGTTCTTTAAAAAGACAGGTTTTGTCAGCAATCTGAAACCCAGTTACCCGAAGGCGAAGGCTTCAGACGAGGCTGAATAAAAAACCCTCAAAGAGTAGATAGAACAAAGAAAATTTTGAAAGGATAAACAGTTGTAAATTTTATATAAATGGCGGCTCCAAGGCCTGTCATTAGTTCAAAATGTACTTACAAAGATTGTTCTGCCCCGAAGGGTTTACACATGGTATTTTTTCAGTACATCAGCATTCCAGTGATTCTTCAACTCAGTTCCATCCAACTGCCGAAGTCAGTATGTCCCTGGCTGAAGCTCATCATAAATTTCATAAGGTCCCTCCCATGTAGCTGAGAGCTTCCCATGGATTCGGCCTTTCTGAACTGCAGCAGCATTCCGAAGGACAAGATCCCCAATTTTGAGAGGCCTTGCATGGACCCTTCAGTTATGGGAGATGAGGTCTGAACTTATCCCGGGCATATCAGCTGCCGAGAAAGCAAACACATCTCTGTTATCCCGCAGGAGCTGAATAAGTTCACAACGGGTGTTAGGATCAAGGTCCATCCCGATTGTTACACATTTCTCAGCATCTCCTTCGGCCAACTCTGCTGTTTCAGTCTGTTGGTCCATGTCCATTGCTGATGGACTGGACTCTTCAGAATCTGGTCTGCTGCCAATGTCAGCAGGTGTCCCAGTCTTTGTGTTCTTCGGCTGGCTCTCTGAGTCTTTCGGCTCAGATGAAGAGTCAACCTTTTCCCTTTCGGGACCTTTTTCTCTGGGCACTGATCCTTGGGCCGAAGCACTTAGGCCTTTCGGCTTTTTTGTGCTTGGCTCTCTTTCTTTTTCTTTCTCCTCCTCATCCTTGTCGTTATCTGGGCGACTACTGGATGGCTTGAGGTAGTTGCACCTTCGGGCGTCCTTCTGGTTGCCCTGTATCCTTTCGGGGAAGCCGGCGTCTGAGACGTAAATCATCAGCTGATGATAAGTTGAGACGACCCCTTGGATCTCGTGAATTATGGGTCTCCCCAAAATCACGTTGTACACTGAAGGAGCGTCGATGACCAAAAACTCAATCATGACGTTCCGGGCTGCCTCATCGCAACCGATGGTGACAGGAAGTGTCACCTTCCCATCTGGATAAGTTGAAGCCCCATTGAACCCGTATACCGGATAGGGTACCGGCGTAAGGTGCTTGGGCTTCAGCTTAATTTGGTTGTAGGCCTTTCGGAACAGAATGTTTGCTCCGCTGCCACCGTCAACAAGGACCTTACTGACGTCGTGGTTGGCCACCGTGGCGATGATCACCAACGGATCCTCGTGAGGGAACGTAATCCCCCGGCAGTCGGCGGCTGTGAACGTCATGTTCGGCACCGGCGACTGGGGAGATTGAATGTCAGCGTTGTTCACCTGGTGAGTCAAATCTCTAAGGTGACGCTTGTGCTCCCTCCGAGAGTATATTCCTCCCGAGATAACATTGATCGGAGGGAATTTCCCCTCCGGTTTTTTACTGTTTTTCCGAGGGAAATCAAGGTCCTGCCGAGGGTCCTTTGCTAACCTTTCGGATTCTTTTTTCTCGCGGTGATCCGCGATGTATTTTTTCAAGTATCCCTTCCGGACCATGTCTTCTATCTGGTCCTTCAGCTGGATACACTCTTCAGTGTTGTGGCCCGAAGACTCGTGGAACTCACACCACTGATTTTTATTTTTTCGCTGATACCACTCTGGGAGTGGTCTCGGCTTTCGGTAACTCTGCTCCTCCTTCGTCACACTGTAAATTTTGGCGCGTGGAAGAGAGAGCGGAGTGTAGGACTCGTATCTGCCTGTGTATGAGGCAAACCTGTCCTTCTTTGGGTCGCTGGCCGGAGATGGCTCCGGAGCCTTTGATTTTCCCTTTGCCTTATGGCCTTGGCCTTCAGACAAAGGTATTTGCCTCTGTTTCCCTCCCCCGGATTGAGGTTGGGTTTTTGCTTTATTCCATTCTTCGGCTCGGATGAACTTATCCGAAGCACTAAGAGCTTCCTCCAAGGTCTGCGGGGTATGCATGACCATGAAGTCTAGGAATTTTCCTGGCTGAAGGCCATTCTGCATTGCAAAAACAGCTAGCCCCTGGTCCAGCTGAGAGACGCTTGATGACTCGTTACTGAAACGGGTCAGGTAGTCTCGGAGGCTTTCAGTTTCCCCCTGTTGCAGACCCATGAGCTCTGCGGTAGTCTTCTCTCGGCGGTTTGCCGTGGAAAACTTGCTCCTGAACTTGGAGGACAGATCATCCCAACCTGTTATGGAGCCTTGCCTTACTCCCTTGGAGATCCACGCTTGCGCGACCCCCTTGAGAGTGGTTGGGAAATATTTGCACCAAGTCGCCTCGGATCTGGGGCAAAGATGCATATGAGTCTCATACGAGGCCACGTGGTCCTTCGGATCCGTGGTCCCGTCATATGTGATATGCGACGGTATTTTAACCGTGGGTACGCGCTCTTCTAGTATCCATTGCTCGAATGGTGAACTAGCGGAAAGCATAATGGCCTTGCCCTTGTTCCTGGCCGAAGGGACCGCGCTCCGCCCTCTCAGAGAGGTAGGAGTGGTTTTCGTCCCTGGCTGGGAAGTCTGGGCCTCGGCTGCAGGGAACGTGAGGCGACTACGCACGCTCGGTTCCTGGCCGCCGAGTCGGTCAAGGACGCTTCTGCGAGCAGTCTCAGGTTCCCGGCGAGCAGATTCTGGCCGAGAAGCTGAGCTGCTGCTCTTATGCGCTGCTGGTCTTGAGGATGAGGATCCTTTAAATAATTGAGAGTTCTTCTTCCTCTGTTTTTCATTTTTCCAAGAATCCTCCTCCCACTCTTCCAGTTCCCGGAAGGAAGGAAGCTTCCCACCGTCATGGTCTAACTTCCTCCGCTGATGCCGGGTATGCGGAGGAGTTCGATCACGAGACGGTGGCATATTCTGTGCCCTCATTGCCTCCATGAGTACTGCCAGCGCTCTTGCCACCTCCTCCGAACTGGGCCCCGTCAAAGGGGTCCCCGGCCGAGTGTGGTAATGAGGCCGTGCAGCCGATGGTTGGCTTTGGGACACTGAATATGTCCTATGATCAGACTGACCCCTGCTAGACCGAGAGTGGTCCGGCCTATATTGAGAGTCATGCATTATAGGAGATAGGGAATCCTCCTTGTGTGATCCTCCCCCCGAGCCGGCACCCTTGGGAGAGTTCCGGTCCGGCGAGGGCGATGGTGTAGGGGTTTTAGGCTTTTCGCCCGCTCCTTGACGGAGGCTTTTGCTCTTGCGGTTCTTAGCCATGGCTGCTAAGATAATTGCAAGATGATCTTGGTTAGGAATTTGGCTTAAAGATTTTTGAAAGTCTTCCCCACAGACGGCGCCAAATTGTTTCGGTTGAAAACAATGGGACCTTGCCGAAGGTCCACTAAAATGGAGAAGACTGGATTCGATCCAAGCTGTGTTGGGCCGAAGGTTTCCTGCACAGTGAACACACGTAAACTAGCCTCGGGGGTGTTTCCGAGGAAGGCCCCTCCGATGCTAAAGTCAGTACAATGTGTAAAAAGGAAGACACTATGCAAGAGAGTTTGTAGCTTGAGGCTTTTGTGGAGTATTTCTCAATGCAAGAATGAGCATATGAGTTGGAATAATCCGTGTATGAGATAATGCATGTGTTGTTGTTGTGTCTGATCTCGTATGTGATGTTATGAGATGTCGTTGTGTCTGATGTAAGAATATGACTCTCCCCTTGAATGTGTTAATATGAGGGCTTTTATACCTCATCATACTTGGAGAGGTTGGGCTTTAGCCCAATTGGCTTACTTTGTGGGCTGACTTTTGACTTTTGAGCAATTGGAGAGTTGAACCTTGACCTTGGGCTTTTAATTGGATCATTTAGTGCCCAGGCCCAATTTTGACTAAATTGGACCCAAACAAGCAGTATGTCTCTTTTTTAATCATCTGAATACTACTTAATGCTCTGAAACCATTTTATTTATTAATACTACTTCTGGTGCAGCTCTGTTCTGTGACTCTATTGGCAGGGTTGATGATAATACTGAGAAGCGCTACAAAGATCACACATAAGGCACAGGCAATCACCGCTCTATCAGCCAAGTGGCATGTTTGCGCGACGATTGACTCCTTTGTCACCTCTGAGACTGAATTACCAGGAGCAAACCATACTAATGCAGGTCTCTTTGATCCTAGGAGCTTAGATTCAGATGACGATGATGCAGGATCTGAGGAAGACGATGTTGATACTACCAAATTGCTCCCAGCTTATGCCTACAGCACGATCTCATTCCAGAAACGACATGCTCTCGGTAAGCTTATAAATGTTTTACTTAAAACAGAAATTTTTATGACTTCTTATGAAACTAGATAGATATTGAAGCTTATATATTGCACTCTTTATTCTGTATGGCAGTTACATATTTTGAGAAAAACCGAGCTGGAATTACGTTGTATGGATTTATGCTGGATAGAACTTGGCTCCAACTTATTTTTGGTGTTGAATTATCCTTAGTACTCTTCTTGCTCAAAAAGACCATCAATTTTTGACGAAGTAATAATCAAATTTTTAGTGATTTGGCTCCTAAGAACAAATGATTCATATCGAACTCCTGCTTGATCTCCATGAATCTCTCCCTTTCTGCCATTTGGAGTGAGCAAGGGGTTGCAGCCTTGCCGGGCTGAAGAGAGAGACAGAGAGTTTAAGCTGATGTATGACTTGTTTCGCACTCTTGGTTCGGTCTTCCTACAAAGAGGCACCATTGCAGTATAGTGAGCTTGACCATTTTGTTCAGTATTTATAATGTTCTATACTCCTTCCTATTGTCGATTCTTAGAACTTACACCACCACCACCCCCCCCCTTTTTTAATATTGTAATTAACATCCCCGCTCTCCGTGGTATATCATATGTGCTTTTTTTTTTGGCTGGCTTATGTCATACTGTAATCAGTGCAATTGTATAGCAGTATGGGCTTGCATATTCCTGTAATATGGTCCGATCCTGTGCTGTAATCCTACGACTGTATGGTCCTGTGTTGTAATCTTATGACCATACGCTTTTGTGTTGTAGTCTTATGCCTGCGTGTTGTATTCTTATGAGTTATGACATAAAGATAATGGAAGATTTGTTTTTAATTTTTTGCAACTGAAGCTTTAATCTTCTCTTGTTCTTGCTACATAAATTAAGTTAATGAAGGAAAGACTATTGCCTGAAAGAGGCTTCAGCAAACAGCAGCTATGCCTTCAGTTGACATACAAACTTGTACTCTTATTATGTAATGTTGGTAAGTGGTAACGTTGTTGCTCAGTACGTAGTACGATATTGTTCGCTTTGGGCCTAGCCTGTACGGACTTGTTTTCAGAAATCTGACGGGGTAAGTGGACACTTATAAGCAAGACATCACTTCCTTATTCTTACCAGGTGGGGGGATTGCATATCCCAACATAACTCAGTCCGTAGTTAATGCTATCCCTTTCGGTCTCGTGATCGAGTCTCACTCCTGTACCATGCTAGGACTAGAAAATTTTCCTGCCATTTTCCTGAATTTCCTGTAATTTGGCAAATAGAAGTCAGAATGTTATGTTGCCAAAAACAAAAGAAGCTCGTAATGTTCAGCATCAGCCCATGTGCAAAGTCCGCAATGAGCATAGATTTTGCGACACTCCAGCTTAAGTCAATTGACCATTAGTTGTCCTTGGGCCGTCAATTTATTTTTAGCCAAACTAAAATTAGTGCTAACAAAATATTTGATTGACTTTAAACATTGACGGATTCAACTTGTGGCTTTCTTAGGTTTACAATTTTATATGGAGAGTCAAGAGTGTTTGATCTACGACTATCCTCCCTTCTTCTCATCATACAAGTTTTTATTTAGGCAGAATGAATAAGTTCAAACTTATAGAATTCGGCTCTGTTTGGTAATTCGCTCATAACGGATTGATATAACTGATCGTATTAACTGGTTTTACTAAATGGTTATATTAGTTGGTTTGGCGAGTTGGTTGTATATAAATAGTTGTGTAAAATTTGTTAAAGTTTTTGGTAAATACTCCCTTCATTTTTCTAAGTTTTTTCACTATCATCTGTTTTTTTCAAATTTTACTCACTTTTGCTTTACTTATGTTATGAAAATTTTATTATTCATTATAATCATAAAAAGCTAAAGAAAAAAAAAGTCATTGAGCCAGCTTTTTGATTATGTACTTTTGAAGTATTCTTAATAACTCATTTTTGTTGCCTTTAATCCTCAAATCGTTATCTTACTATGTGGCAACTTACGATGTAAACTTGTAAAGTCATCAATTATTTTTTATCAAGCTTATTTTGGTCAGTCTTGTGCAATATATGGCTCTTTATGAATCATTTGTCAACACAAAAAAAATATCAAATTAAAATATCAGCAGATTGATTACATAATCACCAATATTTTGTAGTGATTTGTTGCTTTCTTTTTCTTAAGAAAAGTGACGTATTATCATCAAAAAAAGAAAAAAAAGAAGTGATATATTATTTTATACAAAGAATTGACAAACTTTTCTCCTACTATAGGCTATAGCTAATTTGTTATGATCACCAAAACCGGCAAAAGGATATACTCGGTAATTTTATTTTGATGAAACAAATTAAATAATTAACACAAATTCTAGAATATTATTCAAGTATAAAGTCATTAAAGTGTATAGGTCAACTTTCTCATGATTCTAAGAGCAAGTCTTGACTGGTTGATTATCAATTGATTCTTCATTATCTGTAAGTTTAATAACTTCTTGGGACCTATAAATACGTCAAGTAAGTGATTACTTAATGTTGATAACCTAACACAATCTTGAAGGGTGCCTACATTACATATTTACATGGACTCAGTTTAACTAATATTAATCTGATCCAATAATTAATATGATTAATATTGATTGATTTATGACAATAAATTAGTCAACATTAATTCCAATATTACATGAATTATTGGCTAGATATTGAATTCAATGAATTATCACTAGGACATTACATGAACTTAGCTAGCTTATTCAAGTACATCATTTTCATCTCTGATTATTTTTTATTTATTTATTTATTAATTTTTTTAAAAGTTTTAATAAAAAAAACTGATTCTTGATAGGAAAAATAAATAAATCATAATACATCTATAAAGAGATTTAAATCTAACAAATACATGGCAAACGAATTAAATAAAATAATCTTTCAACACAACTAAGACGACCATTGTTGCATATGCTCTTTCATGTTGTTATGAATTACCGCCTCCTTAACGAGGAGGTTTATCAATATATTTTAATTGTGAAGAAATTTCTCACCGGATTGAAATCCAATAATTAACTGTATTAATCTTTACCCGTGAAACAAATTGTTTCATACTATAGGAGTATCTACTTTATTTACAAAAAGTGCAGTTTTTATTAAAACTAATAACATAAACAAAAGAAATTAATGAGAAAGGGTCAGAAATAAAAAGCCAAAAATGAGTGTTTTGCTATTTTGGCACATAAAACACTAATTTTTATATCCTACATAGAAAAATATAATCCTAGAGAGAAAAAGGGAGGGACAGGGAGAAGGGACTCTCAAACATTTCACCACTAACGTCCTTTGTTAGACTTTTGTTTTCTCTAACTTGTTTTTCGATTAGGAATAATTTGCAAAATTACACGTTACTCGCATTAATTAAATTTTTTTTTTCGGGTGAAGGCGTTATTAATTAATGTAATTACTGCTTACTTCGTAGTTTAGTTTTTATTTTTATTTTTTTGAGGGGTACTTCGTAGTTTAGTTTAAGTGTGTTCATATTTAAGACTTTGACTCATTATATGATAGCCTAAAGCCGCATCATAATTTTCCTGAAATTAATGAGAATGAGATAATAAAGTCGAAAGCTTAAATTATCATTATTATTTTCGAAGTATGAAGTTGACAACTTGACGTAGTATATTTTAAGTTTATAACAAGTAAAACTAAAACCTATTTAAATAAACACTCTTTAACCTCTCCATTTATAGGACAAAAATAGGTGATGACGTGCCAATTATCAACAAATCGGCCGCAATCACATAAAAACCTACATACTATATACAAGTATTTTCTAATTTTTTTTTAGATACTACACTTTTAACAAAATATAATGTAAATCTTTATGACATGTCACACTACTACGATCACAAGTGTCAACATACTTAAGGGCCAGCCTTAGCTTAGAATGTTTAATTAATAATTAGCTGTTTAAAAATCAATGTGAAGGTTGCAATTTTAGGATGTGGCACAATATTGTTGGCCATATAAGCACTTTTGACGGGCATTGATTGTGCCAAGTACACAATATTCTATTGTGAAAATAACATGATCGTTGTTGGACCTAATTGGTTAGCTGTGTCATGTATACTTCTTCCGTTGCTAAAAGTTCATTCGAATATTGATTGCGCCAAGTTACAATATTATTCAATATTCTTTTATGAAAACAACATGATATATGGACCGAATTGATCGATTAGATGTGTCAGGCATACTTCCTTTGTTTGTGAAAGTTCTTTCTATTTTTAATTTGGATGCTACTTCGAACCTAAAATTTTAATAGATATGTAATTGAATGGTATAAAGAATGCACGTTAAAAAAGATCGATGCTAAAAGGATTTGGAAAAAAAATTTAGAAACGGAGGAACTACATATTACTGACCAAATTAAACGTTTTTTGTTGCATTACATATTTGCATCACCATACTTTTGTAGTTAAATTAAATTTGTAGTTGGTAAACAAAGGGATGTGTAGTATTTGCAAAATATGATTAATGGACAAAGTGCCACAAAGCGATTGGTTATACAGTACTTCATACTAAACTCACATGGGAGTAAAGGACAGGTAGCTAGTGGTATATCATATGAGTATGGGATTAAGTATTTAATTTTCTCTAATATATGGCTAATGATTTGGTTTAAGGTTGGTATTAATCAGGGAAATAGTGTAAGGATTAAAGTGTTCAACTAACTTGCAATCAACCCACAATAGCAATGAACAAACAAGCATAACAATCAAGAACAACTTTGAAGGAATTAAAGCAAGTAAAAGGAAGACAATGTTACCGTGGGAAAACCCGAGAACCGGGAGAAAAAACCCACCCTTGCACTATGGAGTAATATTGATGATGAATGAACTCAAGAATTACAAGCATGAATTGTATAGAATTCAAATGCTCCTCACAAACCCTCTCAAAACCTCTCTATGTGTTTAAATGTTTGTGAATAATCAACAAAGAGGCTTAGAAAAGGTATATATAGTCTAGGTAGAAAATACAATCCAACGGCTAAGATTAAAGCAAATCGCACAAGTCGAAAACGAAGCGACGAAATAGGGAGCAGGGAGGTTCGGCCGAACCTACCCAGAGTTCGGTCGAACCTGGGGTGGTTCGGTCGAACCTCCTTGGGTTTGGTCACTCCTCCTCTAGAAATGTAAACTGGTGCACCTACTGACTTAAAACCGGGTTCGACCGAACTTTTCACAAGTTTGGTCGAACCTTAACAATAAGGCAGCTTCTATGCAATCTCCTTATGTCTCCATGTATTTATCTATCTCCACACTAATCCTAACAAATAGTAGGTCTGTAGGTGCGAGATCTGATCTAATTTATAAGTCAATTATTACTTGCATGATAGGTGTAATGGAATAGTAGGTACAAAAGTATGTCATTGAGATTTGAACTATGTATGTGGTCGTTTGATTGTACATGACACGTTAAATATCCCTTGATTTGCAATTCATTCTAATACTCTTCATATATAGAGTAGCTAAAATTAGTTGGATGATTGTGAAAATTCGAAATTCTTAGGTAAAATACTACTTACATGGAAAGGATAGTTAGCCAAAAAAATAATTATCCCGATTATTGTGAGAAATATACTTATGTCAATCAAATAATTTCTCAAATTTCATCTTTGTAGGAATTAGCTCATGTAATTTGATGTCAACCAAGCAATCAATATATGAATTGTATTACATTGGACAATAAGTGATCGATGTACAACTATCTTAAAATTTTGTTTCCTCTTTTTGTTGCCTTTTGATTCCAAGATATAGGAGCAGTTCATTTGACCACAAGATAGTCTAAATTTTACTTATCCCTGGTGAGAAAGCCAATGATCACCCCTTAATTTTTAATTTTTTTTTCTTAATTTTTTTTGGTGTTTAGAGAGCCACAAGGACAGGTAATGAGAATCGATCCCAAAATCTCATGGGATCGGGAGGGAAGCTCTAACCAGTTGAGCTATCCCTCACTCTTATCACCCCTTAATTATCATAGATAGGCATCTAGTCAAATGCAAAAAAGTGTTGGAGACCTTAAACTGTTTATAATTGATTCACATGTTTTAAGTTTAAGTGATATAGTTTCTTCAAAAAAAAAAAAGTTTAAGTGATATAGAGGGTCGAGAATAAGTTATTCCATATCTTTTAAAGGTCCTAGTTAAGATATTCAACTATTTATTTATTTATTTTATTTTATGGATGCTTTATGTTAGTAATTGAAAGAAATTTTCTTTACATACACGAATTTTACATAGATATAATCTAAGTAATTTTATTCAAAAAAAATATTTTCTGTCAATCAACTTTAGGCCGAGTTTAGAAGCCACAAATATTGTAACCAAAAATCTATTAAGTAGTTTATAATAGCACCAAAAATTTCACTCATGAGCCAAGGATGTCTAAATCATAGGAATAGCGCTTTCAATTTGCCACCTTAACATTAGCAAAGAATACTTGTTTTCTGTCGCTATAGTAAATGTGCTGGCGATATGTGGATGAAACTCAAAGCTAACCATGTTGATAACTTTCAAAATTTTGTAGGTAGAAACTGTAGATTTACTAGAATTTGATGTAAATTTTCTTAAAATAATTAGGTACAGATGTAACTCCAAGCTGTAAATTCTATTATTGTAGAGAAATAATCTCGATTTATGTCAATTACATGTAATGAAGTAAGTGTTCTAATAACAAGATAAATTTATCACTTTCTATGTGTTTTTTTTTTTCATATTGAGTTGTTACGAACGACAATCAAAACTAACTACTCCATATGAAACTATTCCAATCCCATTGCTAGTTTGTAATATCATGAACTAGGAATTGGTATCGAGTTCCACATCTCGATCCTAAACATATTTCTTATGTTGCACTAATACAATACTCTTTATCTGTATAACATCTTTATATTCTTTTAACATACCAACCTAATGTACTCGGTAATAGGTACTAGGTACTGTATTTTATAATCTTATATGTTATTTTATTCATATGACCAATCAGTGTTATAAAATTTAAAGTATGCACAGATTAATTTTTCTTACATATATATTTTGATATTCACGAATCATCTTGAACTTAACATTACAATACCACTTATCAAACAAGCCCTTACGAGTACTAAACTATCCATATAAAAACCCCCTAGACCCAAATAAACATTCTTACACCCTCTTCTCTTCTTTCATCTTTCTCCCCAAAAATGGGGGATGATGCAACCCCAACACATAGCTTAATACCAAAATCCCAAAATCCCAGAAAATCATTCAATCGATTACTTTCGCACGCCCATGATGAATTGCACGGCTTTCGTTCTTACCTTCGATGGATGTGCGTTGATCAATCAAACATTTACACAGCAATTTTATCATGGTCCGTTTTTCTTATATTTGCAATTCTAGTCCCTGCATTCTCCCATTTTTACCTCGCTTGCCCTTCTTGCGACGCCACGCACGACCGCCCTTACGACACGGTCGTGCAACTCTCTCTCTCCACCGTTGCGACGCTTTCGTTTGTTTGTCTTACACAGTATGTACGGAAGTACGGTCTTCGAAGGTTCTTGTTCTTTGATAAGCTTGTTGATGAGAGTGATTCTGTTAGACATCATTACACTACCCAGGTCTATGTATGTATTTTTTCCCCTTAATTTTGTTGATGATTAATTGTTTGATTATGGATTTTTAATGGGTTTTTGTTTGATTGGTAAATTGGGTTTGATTGGTTGCACTGGGTATTTAGATTAATTTTGTTGGTTGATTTTATTCCCTGTTTCTGGGTTTGTTGATTTTTTGATTGAATTGGGTGATTTTGTACTTTATTTATGTTATAATTGTTCCCATGTAGGGTTTTATTGGTTTAAATTTGATTTGTGTCATGGGTTTGTGATTAATCTGGAAGGTTGCATTGGCTTAAAGATTGACTTGATTTCATCCTCTGTTTCTGAGTTTGTTAAATTGTCAAATGAAATGGGTAATTTTATGTTTAAATTACTTATTTTTCTTTAATTTAATGGATTTTTTCTACATTGGATGTGATAAATGTCATAAATTATGATCAATTAGTTTGTGAATTACTGTTTTGAAATGTGGTTTGATTGTGACATGGGTAGGTGTTTCTAGATTTGATCCCCTGTTCTTGTATTTTTATTTTATTTAATACTCCGTATATTCGAGTATTATTATATGGTATGATTCAATTTTTAGATGTCATAATAATTGATTTGAAGACTTTATGAGCTGGTATTTTCGGTGATTATAATTAATATTTGGTGTAATAATTAGGGTTCTTAAAGTCTTAATAATTCTAATTGAATTACTGTGATAAAAATGATTTCTTTCTAAATTTGGATTTTCTTGATTCATTCATTAATGAGAGTCACTTTCCAGTTTATCCCTTCTTTTTTATGAAATATGTTCTGATTGAATTATGCTTAGTTCTTTTGATCTTTTGCTGTCTTTGAAATCGATCAACTTAGTGTTTGTGATCGAAATGTTGGGAATCCGAAGCAGCATGATTGCCTGAAATTTACCTTACTTCTGGAATTCTGATTTGCTGATTGCTCAGTGTGTTTGGTTTTTAACCTGACCTTAACGAAGAAGTTGTTGTTGTCACCCTACTTCGACTAACTTTGGTGATTTATATTTAAGAGCAAATTATGTGGGTTCTTGTTAGATTTGTCTTAATTTATTTATACTTTTCAACTTCTTAGATACTCGTATCATTTTTAAAAAATATTTATTGATTAGTTATTAAAAAATACTAATAGTTGAATTTATGCATTTGCAAACGTGAAAATAAAGAATGGTCTAGCTATGATTCTTGTGAAGCTTGTTCTTTTGGTCAATATAAGGTTGGCTACCAGCCTGTCTTCTCAATACAGTTACCTTTCCTTCTCTCTTTCATTCTTTTGGAGAAAATATGCTTTGTGTATGTTCTTTTGCGTGTGTCATGTGTTTTTGGATGTGTCATGATTTATTAACCAAAATAGTTTGGTATTTTGGCTTAATATAGGTGTAGAATTATTTGATGTAGAAATAAATCTTCCTGACCATAACTTATTGTTCCTTAGAGTATTCATTCACCATGCCTTACATAAATTGATCTCCATAATTACGGGATCAGATGAGTTAATTAAAATTGATGATTTGGGACCGATAGTGATTAGCCTTTTTTTAATACTCTACAATATTCCTAAGTTAATCTTGCATTAGCCGACATAAAGTAATGATATAGTACTAGTATCATCATCAACTAGAAGAGTCTGGAAATATTATGGATCTTGTACTAGTGGGTTTATGTGATTACTATATTAGTCGGTCTTGTTTCTGATCCACCTCATAAAGCACTGCATTAACACTTAAGAGCTGTTCAACATGACTGATTAGGCCGAAATGGGTCGGGTTCATCATGTTATGATTAGCTCTAGTCAAGCATACTCTAGTGCAAACCAAAGTTTTCTCAAGTACATGTAATGTACTTTTGTCATTGGAAATTAGGGGTGCCTCATGCTAAGTGGTAGGCCCTAGGAATTTTAAACATCGCAATAATCATGTAATTGTTAATTGAATGGAGATAATTGATTAACTTTTCTTCCTATGCTTATGCAGGGATCACTGAAGATATTATCTGTCTTTGTTCTCCCATGCTTTTTAGCCGAATGTGCCTACAAAATCTGGTGGTATGCTTCTGGTGCCTCCCAAATTCCGTTCTTGGGTAACATCATTTTGAGTGACATTGTAGCATGCTCATTGGAGCTGATATCATGGCTTTATCGGACATTAGTCTTCTTCCTGGTCTGCATTCTCTTCCGTCTGATCTGCTACCTTCAGATCCTGCGGCTCAAGGACTTTGCCAACGTGTTCCAGGAAGATTCAGATGTCATGTCTGTTTTGATGGAGCACCTTCGGATTAGGAGGCACTTGAGGATCATAAGCCATCGTTATCGTTCATTTATCTTATTGGCATTGGTTTTAATCACTTCGAGCCAATTTGCTGCCTTGCTGTACACTACCAAAAACCATTCAAATATGAGCATCTTCAGAGTTGGAGAACTTGCAGTATGTCTCTCTTGCCATATTTCCTTTGCGATACTTAACTTTTTCAAAAAAGCTGTCTGAAACTACCTCGTTATTTGTGCTAAAATACGAAGAAAAAAAACCCTTAAGTTTCAACTTTGATTTAGCTAAGCATACACTAACTTAATGGTAACATGTTGGTATGCGCGGATCCTAGCTATTATGAAAATTTTCTCAGAAAGTTTTGGTCTTAGAAATGTCAATCTCCGTCTAGAATACGGAGTAATAAAAATGTAACAGCAATATCTAATGAGAGTACTTTGTTCTCTTGGAATTGTGCAGCTATGCTCCATTACTCTATTGACCGGGATTGTGATAATACTACAAAGTGCCACAAAGATAACACACAAAGCTCAAGCAATCACCTCCCTTTCCGCGAAATGGCATGTGTGCGCGACAGTTGAGTCCTTTGGTACCACCTCTGAGACTGAAACACCCGTAGCCCAGACCAGCAGTGGAGGAAGCCCAGGTTTCTTTGATTCGAGGAGCAGTCATTCAGATGACGATGAGGCAGGGGATGAGGAGGATGATGTTGACAACACCAAGTTTCTCCCTGCTTATGCCTATAGCTCAATCGGTTTCCAGAAACGACAAGCTCTAGGTAAGAGTAATAATTACTTCATTTTTAACACAATTTAATCTCGAGTTTTATCTGTCTTCTGAAAGTGATCAAATTTATCAGTCTGCAGGGTTATTTATTTACATACTGATATCTTTATCTTGGGTATTTTGGCAGTGACATATTTTGAGAACAACAAAGCTGGAATCACAGTTTACGGATTTATGTTAGATAGGACTTGGCTCCAACTCATTTTTGGTATCGAGTTATCTTTAGTACTTTGGCTACTCGGAAAAACAGTTGGTATTTAAAAGACAAGAACATCCTCATTGGCGCGTAATATTATATACAAACTTTGATTCTTTGACCTTATACGGTCCTTGATTTCCTTACAAGCTTTCTCTTGCTGGCCTCTTCTTCCCTGGCCTCTGTCACTTCCGGAGAAAGTGAATGAGTCGAGGGAGCTAGCATAAGACTGATTTTACAGTCTCGATTAGGACCTCATCATGCAAATAGATACTACTACGTATTGAAGTACAGTTAGTTTCACCATTTTGTGCACTTAATGTGATGATTCTTTTACAACATCCATATGTATGTAGATTCTATGAATATGTTTTGGTTTCTTTCTTGTACTTAGCTCGTTCACAGCATCTACGACCTGTACTTGACTATTTTCATTTGGGGGAGCTTATTGGCTTTTCTTCATGGCACTTAGCCTCTTATTTTTTTATTTATTGGTGTAATTTATTTGGGAAGAGTGGTTATTTTGTATGTTGTAATTTATATTGAGTACCAGTAATAGTATAGTGCATCATATTTGTTCTTTCGTTTTTGCAACTTGGAGTTTCTCTCATGCTTTTGTTTTGTCATTAGAGATAATTAGAGTTGATTTAAGAAGTGCAATTTCTGTCCAAGAAGAGATGATAAAAAAAAAAAAAATTGTAGGGAATGGGGAGAGGTGGAACTAAACCTCTTAATCGATCTCACATGAACGGTAGGGTAAGAACTAGTTTTTACCTTAATTCTAGTTTTGTTTTTAACAGTATCTATGGACATAGCTCCACTTATATGGTTGCAATATTGATTCGATTTACCCTTCATATTATCTTAATCTAATCCCAACAACAATTGCTCCCTTTCTTCAAAAAAAAAAAAAAAAAAAAAAAAAAAAAAAAAAAAAAAAAATCAAAAATCCAATTACTCCTTTCATTAACAATACGAGTATTTTTTTTGTTATCCTATATGAAGTACGGAGTACTATTATGAACCATGAAGTAGTATTATAACCTTTTAATTTTAAAAATATAGGTGTGAAAATAAAAATATTAGGAATCACTCTTCATTGGGGCAATTTATAAAATCATAATGCAAAAACTCGAATTAAGTAGAAGAACCAAGACTAATTATAAATGAAAAATACTGGAATATTTGAAGTTTTTTAAATTACATATTTTTTATGTTTCTTTTTGTTTTCAAACTCCTAATCTTTTAAATAAATAAGGGTTCTTGGACCATTACGATATGCATCCTAGATTTTTTTTTTTTTTTTGGAATAGGGTTTGCATCCTAGTGTTTAGAATCTTTAAGGGGTCGTTTGGTTCGCTGGAATGGGGAAAGGGAATGGGAATGATTCCCTTTGTTAGTGTTTGTTTTCACTTATTTGTCTTCCCATTCCCCCATTTTATTTTTGGGTTTACCCAAAGATCTCCTAAACCCATTCCCCACCCACCCTACCTTTTGCATTCCCATTCCCCAACCACCAGTCCACCACCATACCCTATCAACTGGATGCACCTTGCCGGAACTCACTTCACCTTGCCGGACCCTCGCCGCCCTTCGCCTGACCCTCGCCGCCCTTCGCCGACCACCCCATCAACCCCAACCCTTCACTGACCACCAACCCCATCAACCCCAGCTCTTCACTGACCACTAACGAACCACCACCATCAATGCCCTCCCTTTCCCCTCCTCCCGGAAACCACCAAAAATCCCATCTCCCTTACCCTTAAACCACTAGATAACCCCACCATCCTACCTCCCTTTCCCCAAAACCACCAAACTGACCCACCACCTCACTCGTCCTTCGAAAATCACCGCACCCACCACTCCATCCCCTCACCCGCACCACACACGTCGATGAACACCACCTCCACGCCATTCCCACAAGAATCGCCGTTGCTCTTGACGAGGTCAAGGTGGGAGTTCGAAGGAAAGAGATGGTCTGGGTTCGTGGAGGCGTGGGTTTGAATTTGGGTTCGTGGAGGTCTGGGTTTCGTCTTGGTGGTGGCGTGGGTTTGAATTTGGGTTCGTGGAGGTCTGGGTTCTTGGGGGTGGCTGTTGGTTGGGCGGTGGGGTGGCTGGAGAAGGTGGAAAAAAATGAAGGATAGGTGTTGTGGTGGTGATGTGGTGGTGCAATGGTGGTGTGATTCCCATTCTTTTTTTGTAAACAAACAACATGCTTAATTTTGAGGGTTTCATTCCATTCTCCTCCATTCCCTTTCTGCATTCCATTCCGATTCCCCTCTGCGAACCAAACGGCCCCTAAATCTAAAGTAAATGATTTGATAAGCTAATAAAATCTAAAAAGACATCTTTTCTTAAATATAATTCTACCCTAATTAAAGGTAAACTTCTAAAAATAACGACTATTATTATCCACAAAATACTTCCATTCGCCCTCCTAATATTGCAGCATATAAATATAGAAATTCATGTGATAAAATAGAGACAGAGAGAAATTATAAAATATTGCAATATTTGTGAAATTTCATACTTCTTAAAATAATAATTGTGGAACGGAGGTAGGGAGGAAGTAATTCATACGAACTAGCATAGACTACCTCATAAGTCATAATGGGTATTCTTATTTGGACTATGATAATAATGTCAAAAGACTTGAAGCCCAACAACCAAAAACTGATTCCACTTTCCAACCTCACTTGTAAATAATTGGTTGGATTACTCAATTCCATTAGTTGTGTACTTGTGTTAAACCCCCTCACTCTCTCTCCTCGCTTCTTTACGTCCGCCATTTTTCTCACCTAAAACCTTCAGTTTTGGGTTTATCTGAGGTCAGAGTTCGACAGTATTAAGGTAATTCCTACTTTTTATATTAATTTGATTACTTTCCTTATTATAAGTTGTACTTAGCTTCATTTCAATGTATTATACAGAATATTTTTAATTTTTTTTGGCTGAAATCTTCAAAGTTTTGATTTTTAAGCAATTTCTAGCATTACCCAGGTTAGATTTTAGGATGAAATTTCTGTTTTCTTTTCAATTTAGACCCAATGAAATGCTAGTTTTCTTAATTTCAGATTTTTAATTTTTGAGCAATTTTATCATATCCTAGAATAAAAGTGCTGTTTAATTTGTTTGTTTTAAATTTATGATGTTGCCCTTTTGATTTAAACAACCATTTAATGTTGCTTATTTCTCTTTGATTGTTTTTGTTTCATGTGTGAAATCGTTTTTTTTAATCGTTCAACCTAGAGTACAGTGTTGTTCTTGGCATACTGTTACCACCTACCAAATGGGTTGTTAGTTTTAGTCCCGAAATTCGAGCTAAGAAACGAATGGTTGATTGATTATAGTTTTTCAGGTGGAATATTTGTAAATAATTAATAACGAAGTTTTAATCATTATTTTTTTTTGTTGTAATTTGGTACTCATTGATAAATTTCTCCCCATAATTACAGTGTTTGTTCCCATATCTTTACCTAATTACTCTTTTGCTATACAGCTATAATAGTCAACAAAGATGCAAGCTGCTCTTGTCGTTCCGAATGTGGGTTCAAACTTCGCTGCTCCCTGCATTTCAAAACGATTAGCTCCAAATGCTCATAGCTATCGGCCTTTGAAATGTGTTGCTTCACTCTCAAGTCCAACAGCCGAACCACAGACAGTTGTTACATCAGAATCCACAGGGGGAAAGCTCAACAAGTACAGCTCTCGCATTACTGAACCTAAGTCTCAAGGTGCCTCGCAAGCTGTTCTTTATGGAGTTGGACTGTCAGAAGATGATATGAGCAAACCTCAGATTGGTATTTCATCGGTTTGGTACGAAGGTAATACTTGCAATATGCACCTGTTAGAGCTAGCAGAAGCAGTGAAAGAGGGAGTCCAAGAGGCCGGGATGATTGGCTTTAGGTTCAACACTATTGGTGTTAGTGATGCTATCTCGATGGGTACTAGAGGCATGTGTTACAGTTTGCAATCACGGGATTTGATTGCTGATAGTATTGAGACGGTTATGTCTGCTCAATGGTATGATGGAAACATCTCTATCCCTGGATGTGATAAAAATGTAAGTATTGCTTATTCTGGTCATCAACTTGTCTATGATGATCGAGATTAGTATCTTCGTTTCGTGTTGAGTTACAATATCAAGTGTATTGTCATCTGTGGGATTTAAAACATATGTGTTATTATAATGGATCCCTAACCATGATGGTTGGTAGTTAATTTCCAGTCCTAAAAATTTTGAATAGTGACTTACTTTGAGGTTGTAATTTGTGAATAATTCATTCGTGTGTTGATTGTTTGTTTCTTTGATGCATAAAATTGAAATTAGAGCATTTTATGCATATATGTTGCTCAACATTTGATGGAAATGAGAACTGATGAATCATGTTATTTGGCAATGTGACACATGAGATAAATGTTCAATGCAAATTGTTTACTCTCATTTGAATTTTAAATTTTGAAGGTGTTCAGTATCCAATTTCTAAAATTGGGTCCCTGTATCCTGTTGTTTGCTAAATTATATTATTGCTTCTTTGAGGCTGATACATGTACTTTGTATTTTAATAAGATGCTATCTTGAGTTTGGTTAAGTATACAGTAAGTTGGGCCACTGCCTATACGTTGTTGATGATTGTGCTGTTTACAGATGCCGGGTACAATCATGGCTATGGGACGCCTTAATAGGCCAGGCATCATGGTCTATGGTGGTACGATCAAGGTCAGGATTGGAGATTGGAAACTTTGTATTGCTCCATCTTTCTTTGCCCCTCTGTAAAACCATCTTTTATTTATCTTTTAATTTTGATTTGCAGCCTGGTCATTTTCAAGGTCATACGTTGGACATTGTTAATGCGTTCCAGGTATGTAGCTAATTTTCCATGTGACCTTCGTTTCCTTGAATATGAATTTTATCCTCTTAAGAATAAATGTGCTGGATTTTAAGGATTTCTTGTCACCTTAATGCACAACTATCATGCTGTCAAGTTATCTTTCCCTGTCTTTCGACTTTGAATGAATGGCAGCGCTTTGCTGGAAATGCATGCTATAACTCTTAACTCTACTACTTAAGCAGCTCATTTGAGATTTTCATGCTGTAGCAGTAGTATTATTTAGTATATGTTAGGGGGAATATTATTGATGATATGTTCTAATGCTTTGTGTTAAATTTGTAATTTGTTGCTGAACTAAAGCAATTACCTTTAAGTGCAAATGTGCAATTTTTCATTTTTTTTTTGACTCTTCTGTAGTGTTACGGGGAATTCGTTAGCGGGTCTATTAATGATGAACAAAGAATGAATGTCATCCGTAATTCCTGTCCTGGAGCAGGAGCTTGTGGTGGTATGTATACTGCAAATACCATGGCATCAGCTATTGAGGCTATGGGAATGTCTATTCCTTACAGGTATTCTATTTACTTAATAGAGTTGAGCTTTTGTTCTTTCTTGGGTTATAATTCCCCCTTCTTTTTCTAAGCTCGTCAACACCAGCTGAAGACCCTCTGAAACTAGATGAATGCCGTCTTGCTGGAAAATATCTCCTCGAACTGCTTAAAATGGACTTAAAGCCACGAGACATAATAACTGAGAAATCTCTGCGGAATGCAATGGTTGTGGTGATGGCCCTTGGTGGGTCGACCAATGCTGTCTTGCATCTAATTGCTATTGCCAGGTGAGATATGCTGCTGTGTAATTTCTGTAGCCTGCTTGAAATTGGTGCCTAATAGGCCTCTTGTGTCTATGTAGGTCCGTTGGTGTAGACTTAACTCTTGATGACTTTCAGAAGATAAGCGATCAGGTTCCATTCCTTGCAGACCTTAAGCCAAGTGGAAAATACGTTATGGAAGATTTACATAAGGTACATTTGAGCTCCCCTTACCTTGATCGAATTTTAACTTTTGACTTTTGTAGCCAAATGATAATTTCCTTACTTGGGCTATTAGGTGAGCTTTGTTTTGTTTTCAGTATTGTAACTTATACTTCTTTTGATGGATCTTTATAGGTTGGTGGCACACCTGCAGTGATTCGCTACCTTCTTGAGCTAGGATTTCTAGATGGGGACTGCATCACTGGTAATTCTTCCTGCACCCTTGGACATGCTTTTGCTTCAAGTCATTTGCTTTTGTTAATCTTTTATATAATAAGTCATGCTCTTTTGTGTTTCTTGTTTGTCTAGTTACTGGGAAAACATTGGCAGAGAATGCCAGACTCTTCCCAGCCTTGGCTGAAGGTCAGGTATGATGCATATCTTCCATGCTGTATTCACTATTCATGTAAAAAGTTTTATCCTTCAAATTTTCTTATTAATAATTTATTAAACTGTTTGTTCATATGTTTCAGCAAATAATACGGTCATTGTCAAACCCCATTAAGGAAACGGGGCATATACAGATATTGTATGGTAATCTTGCTCCAGAGGGCTCTGTAGCAAAAATTACAGGAAAGGAAGGACTATATTTTTCTGGTAATTTCCCTTCTAGCCAAACACTTTTTGGGTTATTATAAATCTCGTGGCCTTCTAATTTTAGAACTATGTGAAGTTGTGAAAAAACAGGATTTTCCTTTTCTCACTAGACCTAATAATGCAACTGAGAAACTTTTATATATAAACTTTCAGGTCCAGCCCTTGTTTTTGAAGGAGAAGAAGCTATGATAACTGCTATTTCAGAAGACCCCCAGAGTTTCAAGGTACTTTTTGTGCAACTGTTGGTTCACGTACAGTGACTGACTGATCAAAAATTTTCATATATATTTGCTGCTTGCTTATTAATTTAAATATATTTCAGGGTAAAGTAGTAGTCATTAGAGGAGAAGGGCCAAAAGGTGGACCTGGCATGCCTGAAATGTTGACACCAACTAGCGCTATAATGGGAGCAGGACTGGGAAAGGTATTTTGACATGATCTACATGCTTGCATTGTGCCTGAAATAATGAAATCATCTTGACCTCACTCTTCCCAATCTCCTTAGAAGCTTTGGGGTAATAATGTTAATGTTGGCATTTTGCTAGCCATATTCTCACTGTTTATCTCTATCTTAAACGGACTCTTACAGCCTTTGCTTACGTCATCAGCGAGGTTTAATGTCACTTTATTTCTGGGTCAGCACATCATCATTGATAGTAATATGACCCTTCACATATGATATCTTATGTATTACATCTGATATGATGACATCTTCTGTCAAAGAAAGAATAGGTTTTAGTTTCCAAATTCCCCTCAAATACTTTTGATAACTTAATGGGGTATTTGTTTGATTAGAAATGAGGTTGGTATTCTAGGGAACGGGAAATGATTTTCCAACTCAACTTATTTCCCATGTTTATTAAAGAGGAATGGGAAATGATAGTGAAATGGCAAATGGGAAATGAAGACCTCATTCCTCACTATTTTATTATGTATGGAGGGCAGGTAATTGAGGATGGGAATTGAGAGAAAAGTTAAATTCCTCATTGCTATAGTATATGAGAAGGAAAGAGGAAAAGCGTGTGTAAGGATATGTTGTAAATTGCTGTTTATTCCCGACCTATTTCCATCAATCCACCAAACAAGAAATTGTCAATTAATTTATGAATTTCCAATCTCTATCCCACTCTCTATTCCCCAACTCCCATTTCCACATACCAAACACCCCGTCAGGGTTATTCCAACAGTCATAGCTTTTGTATCTAGTTATTTTATTTACACGTATGTAATTATGTATTCAATCTCTTGGGGCGTTGTGTCCTTTTGTAGTTGTAATTCTGTAAGTATTTGATCAAAGAAAATATAAAACAAGCACTCCTGGTACCCGTTTTGGAGGGAAAGGAATTTTGGTACAAAATGCCAAAAGCTATATTAACCTGACTCTTTGTTTTGCCTCAAGTATCCCTATTGGATCCTTCCACTGAGACCTCAGTTGACCCTTCATTCTGGACAGAAAACATGGAATTTTTAAAAAAAAATTATATCAGAGTGTGAACTTGGACAGGTTCACAGTTCTAGTGTCTAACACCAATACCTGGTTTAAGTAACATAGCCCAAAAGAACAAAGGGGTAGTTGAAACATTAGATTTCTTCTCGAATTATGCCTAACATAACCATGCTTTGGATTGTTGCAGGATGTGGCTCTCCTAACTGATGGAAGGTTTTCAGGAGGTTCACATGGATTTGTTATTGGTCATGTTTGCCCTGAAGCACAAGTATGCACAATTCTTTGTCTTTCATTGTTTAGTCTTTCTTATAACAAATTTTCAATCCTTCGAGGGGTGTGGTTTGCTAAATTTGAAGTTCTAGACAAACAGAAATGGTAGGATCTAATGTAATTATACTTTTCGGAATGTTTAGGAGGGTGGACCAATAGGTTTGGTGCAGAATGGAGACATCATCACGATTGACGTTGGGAAAAAGATTATGGATGTTCAGCTGACGGACGAAGAGATGGAGGAGCGAAAAAGAAAGTGGACCGCACCTGCATACAAAGCTAACAGGGGAGTACTGTACAAGGTATCGCTTGCATTTCTTTACACCCTTCTAACAAAGTCCACACTCCTGTAATTTTACTGACAGTTGTGTTCCTTCATTTTCAGTATATCAAGAATGTGCAGTCAGCTTCAAGGGGCTGTGTAACTGATGAGTAGCCAGATGAGAAAGCATTGATTTATTTAAAGCGAAAACATCTTCGCATTCTTGATTCTAGTTTGGGATTTTGAAAAATCCCACAGATGTGTGTTGGCTTGAGCTTTTTGTTTACCGGTTGTAGTTTTAGTGCTTGTAATCTAGTCTGTTGTACGTTTTATGAGGTCTAGTATTCTTCGAACAGAAACGCTGAGCAACTCAGCATTTTGGAGGAGAAAGGGATTATTGATTGAAATTATGCCTGTGCTGAAGTTGCTGGGCAAAAATAAATTCACCAAAGTTTTTGCATGTTTTAAGATGTTCTGTGTCCTTATTGCGTTTCTACTTCAACTTTGAACTTTCACCATTTGTTGAATTCGAGCATCATTTATTCTTCAGAGCAACACAGATGTTTGATTGATATCAAGGGGATAAGTTTCTCAAATTTTGCAACATGTGTGTTAGAATGTACTGAGTAAGAATGTTCCTCAAAGCTCTCACTTACACCTCTAGTTAACCACATAAAATAAGCTCAGATATGAAATTAAAGTTGTCATGTCATGTACTCATGTTCTATTCACCAAACAAATTGCGATAAGGGTTAACAAGAGAGGTAAAAGCTCAATTAACAACTACAATAATTCCAGCTATGTTACCGAGCAAATGAGGTTTATAAAGCTTTAATAAATTCAAATAAGAGAAATCAAGTGAATAGAATGCTACGGAGTAAAACGATAAACTTCATTTTTTTTTTTTCTTTTCACAAAAGACTTAATGTTACAACTTGACAAAAAACTTCAACTCTCATAGTTTCATATAGTCATATACAAAGTACTAAATTACTAATACATTAGCGCCGACCTAACTTGAGAAATTTATTCCACGATTTTCATTCCAACTCAATCGTTACACTAATTTTTGACACATTTTATTTCATGATTGTCATTCCAATTCAATCGTTACACTAATCTTTGACACATTTTTTTTCAATGTTTTACGACAAATTGAATATCAACCGCGCAACACATAAAATCTAGCAGTAAGGTATTGACACTTCAACTGTCAGCAAATTTGGAGAGAGGCTGCGCGCAAAACCCTTGTAAAAAACACTCTTTCATTGCCTGCTGTTCTTCCCAATTAACGTCGCTCCAAATTTATTCTCCAGGTTTCTTCTTTTTTAGCCTTAATTTCTCTAAAATTCAATTATTTGTTTATATTGAATGATTCACTAAATTACAACCATTTTTTGAGCTTGTTGATCGATTACATCAACCATCACTATCATGTTTGCAAAATTACATACCAAATAGTAGTGATAAGGAGCATGCACAACAAGTGTTTGATAAAAGTCCCCTTTGAATTTGCTCTGTTTTTCTGAGTTACAATCTTGTTAAATGTGCATAAATCTGTCTTAAACCTTGGAATTTGACTAAAGATGATATCTTTCTCTTTTTCCTCCATATTTATTGAGTATAAGTACAAATTCTGAGATGGGTTTTCCAAGTTACTGACAGTAAGCTGAAAGATGAACGGGGGGGGGGGGGGTTCAAGTTATTTAATTATCATTTTGATGTATAGAGACCGACAAAGGAGATATTGTAAGCAATATTCACTCCGAAGTCCCACCAAAACTTACTAGTTGGCATCCATATGATTAACTATAAGCTTAACTAATGGAGAAATTTCCAACTTGGGGTATTGGGGAATAAAAAAAAAAAAAAAAACGATTGAGGACGATTAGGGTGTTTACGCAGAAAGTCTTGATAGCATCTAGAGTTGCTACATGGTATCTTTCTGGCATATCAGGTTTCGTAATTGAGGATTCAATTTAACTCGGTATTGAGGACCTCCCATGTTTTGTTAGTTTGGTTTGATTGAGTATAGAAGAACTGGTTGTTACCTGTAGTTGGAGAAAATGAATTTACACCTATAATCCTATATCCACTTTCAAGAAGTTGACATCGAAATTCATTATATAAGTTGTGAACTACTTGTATAAATGAAATGTTATCTAGAAATGGTCCAACCTTAGTTACTAAATTGTATGCTATATTTTGCTAGTGCATGTTATATGAATTAGTTATTGACAAAGAAAAAGTCCCCTCTTTACCTTCCTTACTAAGGTCTATGAGGATGGATCAAAAGGTTTTAGTCTAGGCAATTCTTACTGATTATTGATTGGACATGTGCACTTGTAACAGGCATCTAGTAGTCTTTTGTATGCTATTGTGATGTAGTATAGAAGTATATATTTTGAGTAGATCATTATCTGCACCAAAAAAATGTTTTCTGTTACATACTTGAAAGCATAGAAACAGAAGTAGATAATGCTGGTGACAGTTACTAATTTATCTTTATTTGTGGCATGAAGGTTTAAAATGCTACCACCGCGTTTGAAGAAAAGTGTGATAGACAATCCAAAAAAGCTTGCTAATTTGATTGATCTAGTAAATCTCCCATCAACTTTGCGGGAGTTTGTTGGTCAATCTCAGATTTCTCGCTTGGGGTGCTTCATGCGAGTTTGGTCCTACATCAAAACAAATAATCTCCAGGTTACACCAAATAGTTTCTCTTTGATATTTAATTCTGATGATTTAGGGGATTTACTTTCACAATTTTAAAAGTTTCCTATTGTTAGAAGATTCTTAAATTATTTATGGTCAGATCCTGTTCAGTCAGAAGATATTATTTGTTAATAATGTAACATTTGATTAGTGTATCGTCTCACTTTCAGCTGCTTGTTCTGTGGTAGTTTATCCTCAAGAATTCTATACTTTTGTGGAGCAGATTTTAGGTATTCAATTAGTAGTTCCTGTTATATTTTAGGTCCATTTGGTCAAAGGTCATAAATTGAGGTGATTTCAATGAGTCTGTGCTTTTTCTTACCCCTTCTTATTTTTGTAATGTTACTGCTTTTTATCTCCAAGTATTCGATTTTCTACGTTAATTCTCATTCCTACTCTGAAGGTAGTTCCAAATGGTAATGAAAGTTTAGGAAGAAAAACACATGCTTGGGGTGGAGATGCAGTATCATAAACATGTCAATAGGACTTTCCATGCAAAAGTATGCTCAAGTAGTCATTACCTCTCATTTACCTTGTACCAAATATACAATTTGTATACTTTTAGTGTGGCATTGTCTCATGCTTTGGAACCTATTTCATCTTACATTATATTTGAACTGTTTATTCTCCTTTACATCAAGGGGTCTTAGATATGTTGCCTAGTTTTTTCTGTTAAATGAGCTGATGAAGAGAATAAATAACAGAGAAAGGAGGGGTGCAAATATGTAACAACAGTTGATTCCTCTCCTCCAATTATCATAGTACATTTGATTCTTGACATATTGTTTGCCTTGATGCTGACAAGAAGTGTGTCCATGCAGGATCCACAAAACAAAAATTATGTTAATTGTGATGATAAATTGAAGAGTATTTTGCTTGGAAAATCAAAAGTGGATTTAGCTGAGCTTCCTTCCTTGATCAAATTGCATTTTCCCAAGGAGCCGAAGTGATGTTCACTCTGTATTCAAGGTTCATGCCATCCTCTGCTAGTTGTTGCAATACTATATCATAATTAGGCTCTTGTTTTTCTGCTTTACATTCTGTTAACTGCATATGAAAGTTCTTGCCAACCTGCAATCAACATAAATCTACAGAATAAGTAGAAACTTATTTTATCATTTTGCTTGTCAAAGTTGGGAAGCGTGGAAATGAAATAGGAGGCATCTCTCTCTCTCTCTCTCTCTCTCTCTCTCTCTCTCTCTCTCTCTCTCTCTCTCTCTTTTCTTTATTTTTTATTTTTTTTTGCAATTAGATTCTGTTTCAGGATCTTAGACAATGAATTAACAGGATTATTTACTCTAAGGAGTAAGGAACTAAGGATTAAGGTGTCTGATGAAAATTATATTATACAGTCTTACTCTGATGTAATGTGGTATGCACAATTGCACATGATGCCTCATTGCATTGTAGGAGGGGATCATATACCTTGTTGTCAATTATAGAAACTTGGTTGACCATTTCTTCATCAGATGAGCAGCTACAAGACCATTTGTTCTTTCAGTGGGATGGAAAGCATCCCAAAATACATATTTATCAGCATCTTTACATGTGAATGGGTTGAGTTGATCGCACATATAACCCATCTCAAGATATCCAGTGGCACAACATCCTATGTCTGCATTGTCAAATCCTGAAAATAAGAAATTAAGCATCCATATACATTAATTACTTGAATGTGTTGGCAGTTATAAATACTCCCTCTGTCCAAAAATGTAGTGCCTATTTTATTTTGCACGATCTTCAAGACGTACATTTGTCCATCGATGCCTTTTATTAAGTATTAATAGAAATTTAAATTATTTATTATAAAACTACACATTGAGATGAATCCAACAACATATCTCAGATGATTATATCTTTTTGTGTATATTGATGAGAATTTTTAGTCAAAGTTTTTGAAGTTTGACCATGAAAAATGAAATAGGCACTATAATATGGGACGGAGATTAGTATGATAATGCTTTATAATTTTCATAGCAAATAAATAATAACTACTCGTATTTGTATTCTCCTAAAAATAAATTTTATAATAAAACAGTTGTAAAGTTACATTTTATTTACTCATTCCAAGAATTGACTTATAGTATATATAAGGCCCGATAAGGGTATTTTCTTGCAAGTTTACTTAAAAAGAAAGGTTATAAATTTTTGTTTGGTTTAAACAGAAAAGTAATTTTTGCATGAAGTGCAAGATGATTTCATGAAAAATGTGAGCCATGAAGCTTGAAATTTAATGCATTATGTTGTGCTATGTATGATTTTAAGGATTTAACTGCCCAATGGCTGAGTTTAAAGCCAGCTAGCTGTTGCAAAACATTAGTTGGTATCTGAAAGGGTAAATAGCATGATATATCATGTGACTGAAAATGTTTGTTGCATTTCTTCACACTTTTCAGGCTGGGCCCTTTCAGTTTTAAGTGAAAATATCTTACCGAAAGAAGATGGCTTTTGAATCATCTCTAAGAGAATGTCGTAAGGGTTTGATAATAATAGCTGTATTCCCTTCAGCTCTGTGTTTAGCCTGTCGACCAAATTTGCCAATTTCATATTAAATTCTCTAGCTACCTGGTTGTATTCTTCTATGCATTGACGCTTAAACATGATGTTTCTGGTTCTTTCCAATGGCAAACATCCCATCGGAGGTAGGCCACCGAGTGATATTCTACGAGCTCCAAGATTATATAGTTCTTTAATGAAGTCATTAGCAATCCCAATGAGGAAATATTGGTACTCTTCAATACTAAATTCCAATCGTCTTTTATGGCGTGCATAGTAGTTCTCTAAGAAATCATTGGTTCCAATACTTATTAGGTATACTGCTTCTTCAAGAATTGTGTTAGCTCTCTCATCACCAACATAGTCCCTCAGCTGCTGCTGGTATTGCTTATAATACTCTACTTCCTTCCATAGTGGGAGAACAGACTGCATTTTATAATTATGCACAATATGTTAGCTTTTTACATCCTTATATAGGTAAGACTTAGAAGTGTTAGAACTCTTGGAACAAGAACACCAAATTTAGGCACATTAGAAGGTTCAACACTTTATGAATCAAGAATTTCTAGCTATAGTAGAATGTTTGCTTTTTTTTTTTTTTTTTGGTAGTTAGAAGACTTACTAGCGTATCAGACGTAGCGTTATCATACCCTGTTCCTGCTGATGCAAAACAAACTCCTGTAGCAAAATCATCTATGTTGTAATTAGGATTCAAGAAGGCAGGGACTACTGGTTTCAGCCCAAATGCCTCAGAGATGAAATCTGATGGGAGACGACCATTGGAAAATCTCCCAGTGGGTTCGCCTCCAAAAAAATCACGACCATATGGTTCAAAGTTGCTCCTCAAAATTGTGGAGAGCTCATTGTTGTTCCCTGTATCAACAGAGGAGTCCCCAAAGACTATGACCGCCGGAATTTCAGCATCAATGGCTAGGAAGTATTGTAGTAGTTTAATGAAGAGAAGCCAAAAGGTAGCCTTGTGTATCATGTGGGTTTAGTCCTATGTGCACCCTTTTCAATGTTAAAACGCTGGATGTGCTGCTGGGGTTAGACTGTGCTTATTGAAAATTGAAATAGGCTGATGATAGAAGAATTTCCCTGCCCTTTTTTTTGTATTTTTATTTTTCTTTCCTTTGATGAAAAAATGGTAGAAGAAAAAGCCCAATAAGAGGGAATTCTTGAAATTTGTCGGTGTAGTTTGTTACTAGAGGGAATTGACTTATGTTGTGACTTGTGGTGGTTAGAAAGAAGCTGCTTTGCTTCCTGTTATTGTTTACAGGTGGTGCATCAGGTTCAGATTATAAACTTTGACAGTTACACGACTCGTCATTGGATTTATTATAACGGTTCGATATAATCTATGACGCGGGAAATAATCAATACTCTGTATTTAATACTTCGTACTTCATATGTATTACCAGTCTTTCATCATTATAATTTCTTGTTCTGCTAAATGCATGTACTGTCAATTGTGTATTGAAGAGCATTTATCTTTCATCAGAAAGAAGTTCTCTGATAATTGTCAGAAATGAGAGGTTCAGATGCAGAAAGGTTGAAAGAAGAGATGGCAGTGGGAAACTGTTATAAGCTAAACTTTAACGCTTAAAACCCCTTTGTATGCCCTCATTGCTATTACAGTTTAAGAAATGCATGATATCCATTTGTTTTTCCGTTTAACATGCATTACTTTTGTGATTAAATGCACCTTCACATTTTCATTAACTGTTACATTGTGGTCTTGTGGATGCAGATAAGGATGAAGACGTTAGTGCATGCTGCTTCCATATCTGCTGGTTAATGATTCAACGTCGAGTGACCAATGACATGTATTTAATATATGTAGCATAGTTAACGAAAATGCAGCATATCATTTGTTGAAAAAAATGAAAAGCTGAGTTAAAGATTCATACACCTTTTTCGTTACGTAGAAGGTGTGGAAGGTTGAACCCTTCCATGAGGAACTCCTAATTGATCTCTGGGATTTAAACGACTCTTCTTTTGATTAGGAAAATCTTTGAGTGCACACATAATTCTAATATCCAAACTATAATAAGAGCGGTCTTGTTTAAATAGTGTATAAATGAATTTATTTCTCCGACAAAATGTGTTTTCAAGTTGTTTTTGAAGTAATTAAACTTGTGTGTTAGAGGAACAACTCAACCAAAATTCCAACATAATTATTGTGGTTAATCTTTATTAACATAGCCGAATGAAATTCCAAGTAAATAGTAAAGCGATAAACCAAAATTCTAGATACGGTCTCGATTTAACGATTTATTAAGTTAAATTTCTAATGGCTAACCGAACTCGAATTTGGAATTGAAAACCATAAGGGCGGGATAGGTTGCTCTTACGGTTACCATAGGATAAGTTGGGCCCATTATATATCTCATTGCCACCAAGTAAATTGTGAAGCATTTTTATGGCATATATTGCTCGAGTAGCTTGGCATTAAGCAAGGAAAAAAAATGGCAACTACTTCTGTAGCAAACAACATCCTTAAACAACTACCTTGTAATTTTAGTTCATCATCTTTCTTAACAAACAATTTGTACAAATCTTCATCAATAGTACTAGCTACTCCTCATGATAGATTAACTAGGCAAGTTGTTCTTCAAGCTCAAGCACGTCCCACGTGGCTTCCTGGCCTTGACCCTCCATCTCACCTTGATGGAAGGTAAGATTGTTTTTTTATTTCTTAATAATCATTTTTATTACCAAAATTTGCTTAATTAATCTCATAGTTGAACATCAACTAAATTCTTGCATTATCATGTACTTAAGATGACTTCTCTTCAACTTGTTTTGTAAAATATATTCTTGTTATAATCAGACTAGATAAGACTAAAACAGAAAGATTCTGACCAATCAATTCAAAACTACCTGATGCGGTTCACTTATTGCTTTAATTGCATGTTAACAAAATTTAATGAAATTTAGACATTTGTAGAATGAACGTTGAAATGATTTCACTTGATAATTTTTTTTTAAGACACACTAATGTAAAAACATGGTATATTTTAGTGTTCCAAAAAAAAAAAATGGTATATTTTTGGAAAATAAAAAAGATTAGATTAGATTAGACCAAAGATTAGACGTATTAATATGAATACGTTGATTGTTGAAACTCTTGAAAGTAAAATTGGGTTAATAACTAGTGCATTGTTTTTATGGAATATAAATAGGTCGGTCCAGATCAAAAAAAAAAAAAAAAAAAAAAAAAGCTTTCTAGTGAGAGAAAATCTGGTGAGAGAATCTCTCTTCTTCGCTTTCCCTTTCCTCTGCTTATAACTATCCTTTCTCAGTTTCTAACTTTTCCCTAAATCTATCATCATGTCCGATAGAGTCTTTCCAAGAACCTTTGTTTTTCCTCATATTTTAGGAAGTTATGAATATCCTCCACCTACTTTTAAAGAAATTGACATAAATTGGCAGTGTAGTGTTATTGGAAAATTCTGGGATGACCGCAAATTTTCAGTAGCTCTGGTTCAACGTTTAGTTTCAAGGTTTTGGCATCTCCGGGCTATAGTTAAGGTGTTTCCCTATGGTTCCGAGTTCGTGTTCAGTTGTGGAAATGAAAACGATGCGGAGGACTTGGATCGTCGTGGCCGGTTTGCTTCATTTTAAAGGAAGTCTTATGGTCCTACAACGCTTACGAGGTCATGATGTTCTTGAGAATTTAAATTTGCACTTGGTTCCGATGTGGGTTCAAGTTCAAGGCCTACTTATTCGCTTCTCAGTTCCGGAGATCACATCTTTAGTTCTAAATCATGTTGGTGACTTACTTATGGAAGAAGGGAACATAATGGTTAGTTCCCTATCCCTAAGCTTAGAGTTAAAATTTTAGTTATTTATCGTTACCTTTGATTGCGGGTAGTTTCTTCACAACCTATGGCAATCAAGTTACTTGGATCCGTTTTAAATATGAGGGAATATTTCGCTTTTGCAAAAAGTGTGGTTTTGTCGGACACGGTCGTGGAAGCGGTCCAAAATCATACGAATTAAGTAAGTTTCACTTGGAGCGCCGCTTTCGTAAGCTACACGAAAGTGGCGCACGTGTCCTATTTGGTCCAACGGATGTTTCTCTATACTCTAATTCCATTCGAGGTATTGCTCCTAATCCTGATAATTGGACCACGGAATTATGGTTTGGAGATAATGACGAAGACAATCCCTTTGAATATCCTCCTGATTCTCATCCTTCTAATTGGGATGATTTTAGTGGCATAATTGATAATTTCTCAACAACTTCGACATCATTATCACCTCCGCAACAACCTCCAGCTTCTCTGTCGGGTTTATTTCCTGGTCCTCCGCAAAGTGGGTATCGGAACAGTAAAGATGAAGTGTGGCAGCGTGAATTAGGAATTAGTTGGTGCATCAAGGAGGATCTGGAGATCGACGACCCAACACCGACTTCTAATGTAAATCGTCCACGTGTCCTTCATGTAGACAATCCTCGTCACTCTTGGAGTTACATGGGAAATTGGCAAACATCGGCATCTGGTTAGAGGGTTAACCACGGTACTCCTCATGGTCAAGTCCCTATACCTCCACGTGTCCCCTTCCTGCTGCCTTATCAAATCTTCCATGGTCACGTGACTTCTCAGCAATAAGGTCTGGACCCGAATTCTTATTCATCTCTTTCTAGGCCTCCACGCACTCAAATTAGAACTTCGGATCCTTATGTCATAGCTTCAGCTTCACGTGGGCCTATTCTACCTGGGCTTTAGGCAGATTCGAACTATCATGGGGTTTTATTTCAAGATCTGGGTCACTCAGCTATGAATCCAGTCTCTATTTTCTCACCTCCTCCTTTAGGGCCCTTAGGCCCAATATTTCAGATCCTTTTGGAGCAGGCCCTAGTAATTGGGATGGAGGAGAATCCACTCCTCAATTCGAATTAGATCAACAACAGTTGGGTTCTCTAACCCCATCTCTTGCTTCTTCTTTTCCATTGGCTACTCCTGAAAGTTCCGACTACCAACTTGATTCTTCTTCTGGTGGATTCGAATTCTCACAATCTCAGCCATCTGTTTTATCTTCACTCATGGAAATGACAGTAGACTCCGACAAGCCGACCTCCATGGATTACTCTCCTCAATATTCTCCGACTTCACCTCATAACTTTAATTTGACTCTGCTTCTCCTCTGGTTTCAGTTGGAAATAATGGTAAGAAACCCTCCCTTTTACGTTTAAAAATGGTACGAAGTAAGGATAAGATGTGGCAATGGGTGAATGAAGAAGGCGTGCCCTACCAAGCGTGGCACTTCTTTCTCTGAACCACATACTCCTCCAGCGATTGCTTCTCCAAGCTATTTCTCATGTATCAAACCTCTTAAGAAGCGCAAGGGGATGCTGGGACAGCCGGTTTCTAGACTCGACCTCGCCAGATACTTCTGATCAGGGTTCGATGGCCCCCCTCCAAGGGTCACCTCCAAGGCAATGAATGTTGATGCCTAGAACTGTAGGGCATCGGAACGACGAACTCCCCTAAAGTTCCTTATTTGGCTTCCCTTGTCCGGTCCCTCTCAGTAATTATTATGTTTATTATGGAAACTTTTGTTGATGTAAATGATGTTGTAGGAAAACTAGCTCCTTTAAGGTTTGATGGCTTTTGTGGTGTGGATTCGTAGGGTCTTAGTGGTGGTTTAGTGGTCTTTTGGTTTTCCCTTGGTTAAGGTTGTTCCTATTTAGGTTTCATCGCATGTAATTTTGTGTGAAGTTTGTACTCCTTATATTGAAATAAAATATATAATGTTTGTGTATGGGTCGCCTCACTTGTCGGGTCGATCTATTGTCTAGGCTGAAACAATTATTACAATCATATCCAAATGTAGTTCTAATTGGGGATTTCAATCAAGTAGAATATACTTCTGATAAAGTTGGAGGTTCTGATAAAATTGCAGGGATATCAGCTTTTCAGGAATGGAAGCTTGAAAATGGTTTGATGGACATTCCTTTTTCTGGACCCCCATTTACTTGGAAAAATGGACATAATAATGGAGATCCAACTTTCGAACGTTTGGGAAAGGAATTTGCAACACAACTTTGGTTTCAGGATCACCCGGATGTCCTCCTTCTACACCAACCTATACCGTTTTCAGACCATGCTGCTATAATTTTGCAAGAAAAAAATCCTCCTGTCAGGCGTAGGCCTTACAGAGTAGATAATTGGTGTCTCCTTTCTAAGGAAGTTGCGGGTATAATTTCCTTAACCCGGTCTCTGAATTTTTCAAGATCCCCTATGTTTTCCATTTCGAGGAAACTTGAAACGCTGCGGACAAAATTGCTTTCCTGGAGTATTAATCATAAGAAATTGTGGGGTGCCAATTGGAGCGAGCTACATGCTTCTATTGCTCTTTTTGCTCCAAACTTGGGATCCAAACTTCATAAACATTTGTTGCTTTTTACTCGAGATGAGAAAAGAGCTTAATCACAGGCTGCTTTTTTATACTGGAAACAACGAGCTAAAGTTAAGTGGGATGCTTTGGGCGACTCGCATTCACACTTGCTCTTTTCCTATGTTCAGGCTCGGCATCGAAAGAATGAAATCCAGGGTCTTTTGGATTTGAATGGTTCTTGGGTTCATGATTAGAAGGGTGTTCAGAAAATTATTCTTGATTATTACTCAGATATTTTTTGTGCTTCTTAAGATCAGCTAACCCGTTCAGATTTCGATTGGGAGTCCCTGGGTCTTTCTCAACTCTCGGACGGTGATAAACAACACCTTATGGTCCCAATTTCAGCTGCAGAGAATAAGCAAGCTATCTTCTGCATTGCTGATTCTAAACCTCCTGGATTAGATGGTTTCACTTCGGCCTCTTTAAGTCGCATTGGTCTACTGTTGGCCCTCCGGTTATTTTGGCTGTTCAGTATTTCTTTCTCCATGGTCATATGCTTCGAGAATGGAATCACCCGTTCCTTGTTCTTCTTCCCAAGGTAGATCATCCTCAGCAACCTTCTCAGTTCAGACAAATTGGCTTATGTAACGTCCTTTACAAATGCATTGCAAAATGAATTTCGAATCGACTTAGACAGGTTTTAAAATTTGATATGAATAAAGCGTATGATCGGGTCAACTGGGATTTTTTGTGGCAATCTCTTCGCGCCTTTGGTATTCCCCCATAGTGGATTCATATTATTCAACAATGTGTTTCCACGGTCTCTTATCAGATTATGATAAATGGCAATCCTGCAAAGATTTTTAGACCAGTTCGGGGCCTACGACAGGGAGATCCTCTTTCTTCTTACCTGTTTTTCTTGTGTATGGAAATCTTTTCGGCTATGATCCGTAAAGCCGAAAGAAATAATTTATTTCGGGGTCTTAAGATTTCAATGGCGCCTGCTATTCTTCCAGCCTTCTCCCTGCTTTTCTATTACAAGATCCGTAAAGCCGAAAGAAATAATCTATTACACATCTTTTCTTTTCGGATGACTCTCTGCTTTTCTTCCAGCCTTCTCCCTCGACATGTGAAGAAATTATGCACATACTTCATACCTTTTGTGACATTTCAGGCCAGATGATAAACCTGCAGAAATCCTTTGTGCGTTTTTCTAATATTTCTAATGATTATAGAGAATATTTGGCTTCTGTTTTGCGACTGAAAGTTCATCCGTCTTAGGGGTCGTGCTTGGGCCTTCCAGTGGATATTGGCAGAAGTAAATGTAAACAATTTGCACCCCTCGTGAATAAAGTTGCCTATCGGTTAAGCAACTTTGCCTCCCTTCATCTTTCAGCAGCTGCAGAATTGGTAATTCTTAATTCTATTGTGGTTGCTTCTCTCAACCATGTTCTTTCGGTCTTCAAGATTCCATCTTCTGTTTGTGACAAAATAAATAATCTTATGATTCGGTTTTGGTGGAAATCGAATTCTCGTTCTAAAGGAATTGCGATGACTCCCTCTTCTCTTCTTTTTACACCTAAAAGGTTGGGAGGCTTGGGTATGAGACACCTAGGTCTCTTTAATTCAGCCTTGTTGGCTAAGCAATCTTGGAGAATTATGTAGAATCCCCAGCTTCCAGTCTCACACGTTTATCAAGGTAGATACCCTTCACTGGTACACTGTTCTTCTTCAGGCCGCATTACACGACCTTTGTGGGGATGCAGGGGTTTATTGGAAGGTTTTAAATCTCTTAGGTTGAGGCTTCAATGGAAGATAGGAAATGGTTCTCAAGTACGTATTCTTCGGGATTCTTGGGTGTCACAGACTTCTGTGTGATTCAAGGATACTATGGCTGGGTTGGTTCAGCCGAACATGGTGTCTTCCCTTCTAGATCCATGTACTAATGCATGGGATTCTACTTTGGTCCATTCTTTATTTCCTTCTTCCACAGCAGTTAAGATTCTAGCCCTTGAAAGGCCTGTGCAGCCTATGGATGATTTTGTATACTGGAAATACACCAAGGACGGTTATTTTTAAACGAAGACAGCCTTTGCATGTTTATTTCAACACTCTAGTCTCCCTTACTCTTCGAGTCTTCCTGTTTCTTCCGCATGATGGAAAAAGCTTTGGGCGTTACCTGTTCTGCCAAAATGGAAGCTATTCGTGTTGAAATTATTGCATGATGCGCTTCCTGTTGCTGCAAAATTACATTCCAAAGGCATACCTATTGACCCTTTGTGCTCCTTCTGTCATAATGCTACAATTGATCACCTCTTCTTGCATTGTTCGTTCTCTCGTCGTCTCTTATTGGTTTGTGGTCCTCTTGGTATTCGGATTCCTAAGAATGATCCTCCTCCTTTCCCAAGTTGGTTTTCGTCTTTGCTTACGTCTATGGTTGCTCTTCGGGAATGTTCGACTTTAGATTCAACCCTTTCCTTCACTTGGGCTATTTGGGTTTCCAGAAACAGCATTAGGTTTAGAAATTCATCTTACTCCCCTTCAGCAGTTTTTCAAATTGCAAATGATTGGCTTAGACGTTATGCTGCTTCGAAGGAATTCAGTCCTCCTTCAGACTCTACCATTCCTCCAGGATTTTGTCCTTAACTGCTTTCCATTTCTCTTCGGAGTTGTGGTCAGGAATTACCTACTGTGGTTCTTACGGTTGATGGTGCTTGGGACTCCAATGCAGTGATGGCACCGGTTGGTGTTTTTCTTCTTTAGCCACTAATAGCCACTTAGGGGGTGGAGCTCAAGCCTGCTTTACTTTTTCAGCCTTTCAAGCATAACTGCTTGCCTGACTTTTTGCTTTACGAATGGCGCTTCAACAGGGTTTTACCCGTCTGCAAATTCACACTGTGTGGCTATTCTTTATGCTTTTGGGGACAATCGCACTAGGGATATTTCGTCTGTATGGCTCCATCAACAACTCAGAGACATTCTTCCTGCTTTTACCGTCTGTCTTATTAAGAAAGTCTCTCGTGATGCAGTGTTCCCTACCCACCAGTTAGCGACTTCAGCCAGGAAACGTCAGTTTATTTATTATCGTTTTTAGTCTGTTTTCTTTGGAGTGAAACTTTGTCAAAAAAAAAAGGTCGGTCCATTTGTATTTATAATTTTCTCCTAATGGGATTTGGTTTGCATAGTTTGGCAGGAGATTTTGGGTTTGACCCACTTGGATTGGGAGAGGACCCGAATAGCTTAAAGTGGTATGTTCAAGCTGAATTGGTTCATGCCCGTTTTGCTATGGCTGGTATTGCTGGCATTCTTTTCACTGATGTAAGTACTTGAACAATGTAGATGATGAATAAAACTTGGCAAATGAATTGTAATTTTTCTATTCGCCAAATAACATAGTTGTTGCACGTTGACTAATTTTTTTTTAACTCGTATAGATTTTGTTAGGTCATTGAGGCAAGTAAAATGAGATGAAGGGAATATTATTTCTTGAACTAGACTATGCATCTTACACTAACGCGTGAAGCCTATTCTACACTATGCAGTTGCTTCGAACTACAGGGATCAGTAGTTTGCCAGTGTGGTACGAGGCTGGTGCAACCAAATTCGACTTTGCAAACACAAGAACCTTGTTATTTATCCAATTAGTCTTAATGGGGTAATTCTTTTTACGGAAATTTCATGATATACCATTGAGTTTCTTCAAAATTCACCATATACCACACAACATTTTTTAATTCACCATATACCATTGAGTTTATGAACGTTAGCACAGAATACCATTAATGGCAACTGTCGTTAGTCATTAACGTTAATTGTGCCACATGGCAGCTTGTAATTGGTTGTCTTTTAAATTATTTAACTTTAAAATAATTATTTAATTAATCATTAAAAATAAAAAAAAAAGAAAAAAAAAACCCTTATCCCCTACCTGGCCACCGTAACCCCAACCACCACCTCCACCTGCCGCCGGCCGGCTGCTTACCCCTCCCTTCACCTGCCCCAATGGTGGACTGGTGGTTGCGGTCTTGCGGCGAAGGAGAGGACGAGGTTGGCTATGGTGGATTGGTGGTTGCGGGCTTGCGACGAAGGATAGAGAATTTGATGGTGGTGCGAAGGACGAGGTTGGCTATGGTGGGCTTGCGGCTGTGGAAGGGGGATGGGTTTTCGGTGAGACTAGGGAGGAGGGGACGCACCACCATTAAACCGTCCCTACTTTATCCACCAATCAACCACCACTCCACCTTATTACCCCAATTGCACCAATTTTGCATCAAATTGAAGACCCGTTTGGCATTATTACCCCTTTCTCCCTCGAAATCCCATCCCCTACCCACCGTCGGCGTCTAAAGCCCCCCTCCCTGCGCCGGTGAACCCAAATCGGCTGTCAGCGAATGGGTTTCGGGGGTGGGCGAGAGTCGATTCTGGGGTTTCAAGGGTGGGAGATGTGTTTTTCTAGGGTTTCGTTTGAAGGAAAGATAGTTCAAGGTGGGGGATCGTCGTATAAGGGGGAGGGTGATGGCAGGGGAGGGGCGACGCCGGCTGCGGGCGGAGGTTCGGGGAACCGGCTAAGGGAGGTGGTTGATTGGGTCTGAGCTTCGCCGGTGGTAAGAGGTGGGTGGCAGAAGGATCTGGTGGTTGTGGTTGGTTTGATGGTTTTTTTTTAATAATTATTTTTTAAAATTTTTATTTTCAATTTTATTAATATTAATTATTCTTTAATTCTTTATTTAAGTAATTAATTAGATAATATTAATAAGAGCCAATAAGTGAAAGCCACGTGGCACAATTAACCTTAATTACTAACGGCGTTAACGGAAGACTAACGACAATTACCACTAATGGTATTCTGTGCTAACGTTCATAAACTCAATGGTATATGGTGAATTAAAAAATGTTGTGTGGTATATGGTGAATTTTGAAGAAACTCAGTGGTATATCATGAAATTTCCGTTCTTTTTAATAGATTACCAAGATTTTGCACTCTTCATTTGCATTGATTTCACTCAAGTCCCTTACTAATTATAAACTATTGCCAGATTTGTGGAAACTAAAAGGTATATGGACTTCGTTAATCCTGGATCACAAGTTGATGGTCCTTTCTTTGGCATGGAATCAGCATTTGGGGGCTTAGAACCTGGGTAATTTTAATTATAATCATCTTTCATATTTCATTTGTTATAAAAATTCGACTCATTTTTCGTTTTGAGGTATTTCAATAAGTTTAATTTACATTTATTAATTTTATATTTTTTACTGTCTTATAAGGAATAAGTTATAATATCGTCCGTTATACATTATACCGTACCACTCATTCTTTTACATTATTTAAATTATTTTTACATACACATACCAACGTGCACACATTAAGCTCAATTATTTTTTTTCCCAAACTTTTTAAAAACCGTGTATAAAAATGAGCAATATATATGCACCAAAAAATCAAAGTTATTCTTGTAAAAAAGAAAAAAAAAAAAAAAAAAAAAAAGTTATTAATGAGTACAATTTTTCTGGTTTGGCTTAGATGATTTATAAATTGGAAAAACAGGTACCCAGGTGGCCCCCTGTTAAACCCTCTTGGCCTAGCCAAAGATATAAAGAACGCTCATGATTGGAAGCTCAAAGAAATTAAAAATGGTAAGTTTTAGTTCATTGTTCTAATTTCTCAATATCAATGCTTAATGTTTATTTTGTTTCAATAATAATTATATAAGCTTTTCGAATTTTGAACTATATCCTATGTTATTTCGACACTTTCTTTTACGTTGAGTGTTGCGTGTCAGATCCTCTGATACTTTGACACGACACGACACCTAAATACATAATAAAATTATATAAAATATGGAGTGTCGGACACAACACACAAATCCGAGTCTGTGCAATATAGATTTTGTCTACAGATTCTGAAAATTAAGTGTGAATTGAAATGTGTTTCAGGACGATTGGCGATGATAGCTATGTTAGGCATATTTGTGCAAGCTTATGTAACACATGCTGGTCCAATTGAGAATCTTGTGGAGCATCTTTCTGATCCATGGCATAAGACCATCATTCAGACTCTCTCCACCTCAACATAATTCATTCTGACACTTTTTTTTCTTCTGTGATTGAATATTCAAAGTTATTCAATATGTAACATACATGATCAATACGAAGTAATTACTCATTATTATCAAAAAGTTGAAAAGTGCATCAGTATCCCATTGCTCTCTTGTGGGTCAAATTTTAATTTGATCACAAATTTTCACTGTTCTATCCTATAAGAAGGTAATACATACTCGTGAGATCTTGTTGGATTTGTTGCAATATCTATTCTTACATTATGATATTTTTAAAAATTTTGCTAAACGAATTTGGAGATATTGACGTGTTTTCAAGACCATGAAAAGTCAAATGCGGCAACAAATAGGTACGAAGGGGACAAATAGCATAACCTATGCTTAGTATGACCTATTGTTTACCAAGATAACTATGCTAACAAATACGGAGTATAAGATATTCTTGTATATGGAATATAATTATGAAAAAAGAAAATGTAATTGATGTTGCTTTTCTTTTCGATTAGTTTGGTCAGTAAAGACGTTGATGACACAATGAGCGCGCGTTGCATTATTGTATTGAAGTTGTTAGGACCGATATACTACTGGGCATTCGCGGGGGAGGACCGCAGGGGGAGTTTTATACGGTCCAACCCGTTTCGAGCAGGCCGGTAGAGCAAGAGCCCAGTACAATATACTTGTATTAAGGTGACTCACTTGGTCTGAATAACTGGGATAAGTAGGCCCCTTATCCATCTCATTTCCTACCACATATATAGCCTCTCAAAAATTTTGATCCTAAAGAATTAAGATAGTCCTCCCATCTTCAATTCAAATAAAAAGTTCACAATTTCTTTTAATAAAGTTGTTGGGCTAGCTATCACAAGATCACTAGCACCAGAAACTAGCTAAAACACTGAAAAAAATGGCAACTTTTGTTGCTGCTCTTTCATCCAATTCCCTCATCTCTTCCTCTTTACTTCAACAATCTTACATCAATGCCAACAATCCTTCTCAAACACTCCCACCATCTTCGCTTTCATCTTCCTGCTTTTCTTCCTCCAAATCCTCCTTTTTCTCCCCTCTAATGAGTCCCTCACTTTCATCAAATCGCGCTGTTTTTCCTCTGATGTTCAGAAACAGCAGCAATGTCTGCAGTAGCAGTTTCAGTATTAATGCCAGTGCTTCAGACAAGAAAAGGGTGCTTATTGTTAACACCAATAGTGGTGGACATGCTGTTATTGGTTTCTACTTTGCTAAAGAGCTTCTGAGTTCCGGTCATCAAGTCACAGTCCTTACTGTTGGAGATGAAAGCTCTGACAAGATGAAAAAACCGCCTTTCACCCGCTTTTCTGTTAAGTTTAATTCCTTTGAATGTTTATATTTTATTTACTCTAATCAGATTACTGTCTGTTATATATAATGTGGTACATTTGGTTGTACATGTGCTGTGTTAGGCACACCTCACATACAAGTATACAACCCTGACTAGCATTTCGAGTTGATCATATTGATCAACTCGAAATGAAGTCTATTTAGAATTGATGAAGTTATTGATTGTGACACTTTCTATCCTTATTATGGTATGATTAGGAAATTACAAGTGCTGGAGGAAAAACGATATGGGGAAATCCGGCTGACATTGGGAGCGTAGTGGGAGGAGAAACCTTTGATGTGGTGCTCGATAATAATGGCAAGGACCTTGAAGCTGTGAGGTATTCATGTAGTAATATGCGTTATCAAAACTACTTCTATATTTATGACAAGGATCATGAACTCTTAGCTAATAATCTTGTCAAATAATTTCGATTAAAATGATGTTTGTGTTAATTATAACAAATTTACTGATAAAATCAGCTGTGACATGTAGTCCTGTGATAGACTGGGCGAAAAGCTCTGGAGTGGAACAATTTTTGTTTATCAGCAGTGCTGGAATATATAACCCTACAGATGAGCCTCCTCATGTTGAAGGCGTAAGTTTGCATTTCGAGTCCATAAAAAATATTGTTGCATACTTGTTTGTACAAAAAATTGTTTATCTTAGTAAGATTTGTGAACAAACTATGATCAATTTGTTTTAGGATGCTGTTAAAGCTAGTGCCTCGCACGTTGCAGTAGAAGAGAGTATTGCTAAAACTTTCAGTAATTGGGCAGCCTTCCGACCTCAGTATATGATTGGATCAGGAAACAACAAGGATTGTGAAGAATGGTTCTTTGATCGTACGTTCATCATTACATTCTTCTGATTTTGTTCATTACTTCATTCTGACAGACAATATTCTTAGACTATGTTCTGTTCACTTACAATTTTTTAGCCTGTTATCACTGCGTTTTAAAGCTTTGATTCATTTGAAGATAATTATATTAACTGATTAATACTAATACTTTCTAATTGCATCTCATTTTATGTGTCTAATGTCAGGGATTGTCCGAGACAGGCCAATTCCTATTCCCGGCTCAGGAATGCAGCTCACTAACATCACTCATGTAAGGGACTTATCATCCATGCTTACTGCAGCAGTCGAAAACCCATCTGCAGCAAGCGGAAACATATTCAATTGTGTGAGTGATCGAGCAGTGACCCTTGATGGAATGGCCAAACTCTGTTCTCAAGCAGCTGGTCGCCCTGTCAAAATCGTGCATTATGATCCAAAGGCAGTCGGAGTTGATGCCAAGAAAGCCTTCCCTTTCCGTAACATGGTAAATAACTACACTAATACTCTAATAGACATAATAATTGTGTTCCATCTTTCTAGTGGCAACTCATTCTTGTGAATCTATTATGCTTTACTCAGCACTTTTACGCGGAACCAAGAGCAGCTAAGGATATCCTCGGATGGCAGGCTACTACCTACCTACCGGAAGATCTTAAGGAGCGGTATGAGGAGTATGTAAAGATTGGAAGAGACAAGAAAGATATGAAGTTCGAGTTGGATGATAAGATACTCGAATCACTTAATGTATTAGTGGCATGATCTTTACAGTTCAGTAACATATATAAACTTCAAAGAGTCGTCTTCTTGTAAGGGAACTAATGATGCAATTTTTGGCAAATTTTTCATGTATGAAATAATTTCAATCTCCAAGATCTTGAGTGTCTTTGTAAAATTTAGATGAGCTTCAGGGAATTTCTAAGTCTTTCAGAGATGTACTAGATGTATTCTATAACATATTTATCAAAAAGCTAATTGTGCCTGATTAGCAAAAATAGGTGCTCAAGTTAGATTTTTAGCCAGAATTCCTTATTTTTTATCAGAATATGATTGTCATTTTTCTACTAATTGGTATTTCAGAAACAATTCTTGACTAAATGACAAATGACTATAACCAATGAGGTTTTAACCTAATGGTTAAGACTGAAGGTTTGTGTATGACAAGCTCACAAACCGGTTTAAATTTCTTCACCTCCATTTGTAATTTGTATTGCCCTATTGACTCATTTGGATGAAAAAACCTAATGACCATTGATATAAATTGATAAAATCTACTTTGTAATTGTCAGCAACATCGGTAATAAAAAGTGACAACATAGATAAATTGTTATCTAGGCTAATATATACAGAGCCCGAAAGCATAAAATACATTTTCTAAATTGACATTAATTTAGAAAAATATGAAAATTTTATGCATCATTCATTATGGATTTAACTTAATACAAGTATTTCAACTTTTAGAGCTCCATAATTATATGCAACCTAAATCATTTACTTGCACTTATTAAATGATCATATCCATCTTTTTTATTCACCGGAATTTAATTACCTTATCCAGACAAATTAATAATGATGAAAATAAAATGGGATCTCATAGATGAAGGGTTCGATACCCATTACCTTCAACCTTTCCAATGGATATTTCCTAGATAAGGTTTCCACGTTAAGTCCTCTAAGTTTAGTAAATCTTCAAAACGAAACCTTAGGAACTCTGATGTCATGTTGCTTATGGTAATCATCAATCAATAACATAATAACATAATACTAAAACAAACATCAGAAATGACATGTGTCACTTCCTGGTACTGTTTTTTCCCTCCAAAACTCCCCCCCTCCCTTTTTAGATTCCGGAGCCAAAAATATAATATTAACAATTAAATTACCACTATATAGTTGTACAATAGTGAGGTTCAATTGAAAAAAAAAATAATAAAAAAAAATTAGACAATTCTATTCATGGTGTTGATTTGAAATCTTATGAAATAATAATATTTTATTTTTGGTATTCCACCCGATTCACCCTTTGGGCTAATCCGGATTCGGGGCTCATTTATGAGTGGTTAGGTTTCAGTCCCCTCCCAATTGTTGTTGGGGAGTATCGAACACACGGCCCTCCCTACCAAGTGCAGCCTCAATCACCACTACACCAACAACTAATTGGTAGGTTTCTATAATAATTTCACCAACTTATAACTTTTGTTTCCCTCAAAAAATCTATTAAATATTAATAAAAGAGGTCGATGTCAGCTTTAAATTTTTTTTAAAAATAATTATTCTACTTAGCTTATTTTTTGGAAGTACATTGTATAGGTTTTTTTTTTTTTTTTAAACTAAACTAATTCATTAATAAAAAGTCATACGACATCAACATTGATAATTTTATTGGGAATAACATGCATCATTAATGTAATATGATGTATACTATTTTTAGATATTTTCAACACAACTAATCAAAAATAATTTTTTTATTTCTCAATTGTAGTTTTAAAAAAATTTTGCCTTATTATTCATCTTTCTTATATGCATTGCATTTGTATATTATACATGAATTATCTTATTTTTATATTATTTCACAAATTAATTATAAGAAAAAAAAAAATTATTACTACCGTGCATCGCACGGCCACTAATCTAGTAATGGTATAAAATTCTCACAATATTTATTCATTTTCTAAATTACAGTATTACACTTAAATATATGAGGAATTCTGTACCTCTAATAATTTGAGTCATCAATGACTCTAATAAGGTACCACTGAATAAGTATTTTGGTATCATAATAATACCATTTAAAATATAATTTAATACTAACACGTGTTATTAGAGTCATTCATGACTCAAATTATTATAAGCTGATAATTCCTCTAAAACTATAGTTATACGTAAACTTAATTGGATAAGTTTTAGACTTTAGTCGACTCTTATCTGAGTTATCTCCTAGTCAATTCTTAAAGCTTTACTACTTTTATTTACTTGCCATTATTTTTTGACAACCATACTTCAACGGAATTCAAATTTCTTATTATGAGAATCTTTTTCTCCTATATAAAGTATTAATAATAGTATTTTTTTTTTATTTATATTAAAGATTACCTAAGTTCTTGGTGGCCAAACTTCATTACATATATAATAATAAATGCATAGCCATTAGCCACCCTTTCTTGATTGGATCCACTACAAAATAATTTTTATTAAAAATACCCACAAAAAAGGAAAAAAAGAAAAAGAAAAGATCTGTAAAATTGCTCTGCGCAAGAAAATCATGGCGTCTTCGAAATTTAAAGCTTTCTGGAATCATCCAGCCGGTCTCAAAACAAGTTTGTTTTCCCCTCTATTCCACTTTCTTTTACATCTCTAAATACTGTTCATTTTTTTAGCGTGTAATTGTGTAAATGCTTAATTACTCGTGATAAGTCCAGGTAAAATATTGTTCTTATTGTATTACAAATATGAGATATAATCAATAACGGTTAATATAACTAGTTGTTGAATCTTATTTCGATTTTAATCCTACTTTGAATTTAAGTTGGTGCCTATTTTTTTGTGAAACGCTAAACATCGCCCGCAATTTACCATATAAAGCCCACAAATATGATATGGTTTGACCATTATGCCCATTTTCTAAAATTGAATTAATCTCGGTGTAAAAAATGTGGAGCCGTACTGGCTCGCCGGGGGAGACTGGAGGGCAGGCCAGAGATGCGGGGGACGCCGGAGGTACGTCGTCGTCGACGGAAAACGAGGTAAGTCACCGTTAAAATTCACGGTTTACCGTCGGAGTGGCTCCGGCGCCTAGCATGGACTCCCAAACCGTAGCCTGGACGTCCAAGCCAGACGCCAGAACCACCAGAGTGGCGTCCAGCCCAGACGCCCAGACCACCGGACTGGCGTCCTGGCCAGGCGCCACTCCACTGGGTGAGGCGGCCCTGCCAGGCGCCAGTCCAGTGGCTGTGGCAGCCCTGGCAGACGCCACCCTTATAAATTATTTTTTTTTTCTTTTTTGATTTTGTTGTTGTTTTTTATTTATTTTTTTTTTTAAAAAAAAATCGAAAATGATTTTTAAAAAAAATTCGAAATGGGTTTTTTTTTTAAATTAAATTTGAAAATTCGAAATAGGTTTTTTTAAAATTAAATTTGAAAATTCGAAATGGTATATTTTTAAATTTAGTTTGAAAATTCGAATTGGGTTTTTATAAAAATTAAGTTTGATTATATATAATTATGCTTTTTTTTGTGTTAATTCTCTGTAAATATAGAAATTAAATGTATTATCTGTTAAATGTATTTATTGTAATATATAATTGATGCAGGAATATGGTGGAGACGGAAATGATTACAGTGGGATATTTGGACATGATGGTCCATTCGAAGAAGCTCAACAGGCGATTGATTGGGCAAAACAGGTTGCAATTGCAGCTGGATTTTGCTTGGTAGTAGTAACTCATAAATCTCAACGGGATGGTAGAATGGATCGCATTTTGAGATGTGACCGTTATCGCAAAAGAGAAGAAAGAGATTTTCGTCCAGCCACTCGGTTTGATACAAAGCGGAAAGGTTGTGGGTGTGAGTTCAGAGTAAAGGTTCGACAACTACGGAGTCGTGACGGTTGGGAAGTGATTGGTTACTCTAAATGGGGGTATCACAACCATGAGATGATAGTATATGAAGAGGGTCATCGACAACTGAGCGACTTAAGTCCTGCTGCGAAACTAGTTGTGAAAGAAATGAGTGATGCTCAAGTGAAGCCTGCTAAAATATTAGCATCTGTGTTAGAGAAATTTCCAGAAGACCATCCAAACTAGGGGTGGCAAACGGATCAGGTCAGGTCGGGTTCGTGTTCGGGTTTTCGGGTTTCGGGTCAGCTAACCCCCAACCTGAACCTGATCCATTTAAGTTTTTGGGTTGAAAACCCCAACCTGAACCTGATATTTTCAGGTTCGGGTCAACCTGAAAACGACCTGATTTGACATGATTTTTTTTTTTTTTTTTTTTTACTTGAATAACCTGATTTTTTAGCCTGATTGACTACTTAACCGTTAATAAAACCTGATTTTTTTTTTACCTAATGTCTTCAAACTTAATTTTCAAACTTAAATTTTCAATAAAAACCAAATAAAGTATAAGAAGTCTAAATGCCTAATTAACTATTACATACCAAAATAAAGTCTTAACAAATTACAAACCATAATTAAAAAGAAACAAATGTATTTAAAGTTACAATCTCCTGAATCTTCTCATATTCCCAGAAGAAAGCTGTTGTACAAGGGGTTGATGGGTGTCCATAACTGCTGCAAAAAAAATATAACAAAATAAAAAAATTAAAAAGACAACTCAAGAACAACCAAATTAGCAAGAACAACAAATTAGCAACATCTCAGGAAAAACAACCAAAACAGCAAGAACAAATCAGTAAGAAAGCAATAAAAATTAGCAAGAAATCAACAACAAATCAGCAAAAATCAAGAACAACAAATCACCAACAAATCAGAAAAAAACAAAAATTAAAAAGACATGCACTATACTTTTTCTCGTCAAACAACAAATCAACAAAAAATTTATCATATTACAATTATTAACCAAGAACATCAACACAATCGAATACAAAAACTGAAATAAAAAAAAATTTTAAAAAAAAACAACGAAAAAGTAAAACAGAAAATTACCTTAGAAGTAGAGGAAGATTTGAAGATGAAGGTGAAAGATTTGAAGATGGAGAATTGCAGATCAACCGAAAAGTGTAGTTGAGGATATGAACAACAAATCAACAACAGAAAATGTTAATCTTAATATCTGATTTGCAAATGTTAGAAAAAGAAAACAAAAATATAAATTAAACAACAAGTCAACAACAAATCTATCGATCTACGGATCTACCCTTTCCCATAAAAAAAACAAATCAAAAATAGAAATTAAGAACAAAAATCTTAGGCATATTAAGATGACGGCTTGGAGGAGAAGTTGGAGAACTGGAGATCATTCAAAAAAATCGAATATAGAGAACTTGAGATCGAAAAAAACAACCGAAACGAAAACAAAAACAATTAACTAAAAGTTAAAAATTACCTTTGATCTATTAAGAGCTGAGACGTTAAGCTTGATTGCTTGAACCGATTTAGGGTTAGGGTTTTGAGGAGAAACAGAGAAATTGAGAATGAAATTTTTTAAGAGAGGGAAATGTGAAAACGGCTGAGATGAGATAAGAGGCTGAGAGAATGAGAGTAAGAGTGAGTGTTAGGGTTTCAAGCTCAATATAAGGCACTTACGGTTTTTGTTTAAAGATTTGGGCTTGGGGTTTGGGGCCTTGGCCTAGTAGTAGTTTTAGTTTCTTTTTCATTTTTTATTTTTTTTTGTAAGACTTTTTTTTAAGGTTGGGTTCGGATTGACCCGACCTGAACCCGACCTGATTTTGACTCGAAAATAATTTCGGGTTAAGTGGGTCATTTTCGGGTTGAGATTTTCAACCTTAACCTAACCTATTTAATTTCGGGTCGGGTTCGTGTCAACCCATTTAAGTTTTCGGGTCGAAAATCTCAACCCAAACCCGCTATTTTCAGGTCGGGTTCGGGTCGGGTTTTCGGGTCGGGTCAGTTTTTGCCACCCCTAATCCAAACCGAAGACACATCTACAACGTCAGACAACAACTCAGGTTTGAACGGTCAGAGGGAAGGAACCCTATACAGCAGCTGCTACACCAGGCACAATCACGTGGTTACCTGTTCTGGTTTGATTCTGATGAAGATACAGCGGAGGTGACTCATCTTTTCCTTGTGCATCCTGATTGTGCTGATATGATCAAGTGTTGGCCATTTGTGATTTTGATCGAATCAACGTACAAGACAAACAAGTACAAGTTCCCACTGGTTGGGATGCGCTATATCATGACCGGATCCACGAATGGAACACCCTAGCTGCATTTTAGTTTTTCATGTTTACATTCTTTATTTGTAATCTTATTTGTACGTTGCTCTTTTAATGAGAACATTAATATTTTATATTGTATTGCTTACTGCATTCTATATGTTGCATGGGTAAGTTGCGCGGATCCACGAACGGTTATATCAAAATTTAAAAACAGCACTGATAATATGTTTAAGTTGGAAGCTAAAAGAACAATCTAAAATGTTACAATCTTACAACATAATGTCCAACATAATGCTCTATAAATAAAATGACAAAACCATCAGTAATCCCTCCTCGACGACGACTCCCACTGCGCAAGGGTCTGTTCCAGACTATCAACAACAGCTCTCCCTGTTGCACTCATGCTGTCCTTCTCAAGAGAGAGTTTCTGTACGTCTTGCATTATCTTTCCCATCCACTGCATACAACAAAAAACAGAAGATGAAATACAATAACAACATATAAAACTTAATTAAAAGACAACGATAAATATAATAAAAGACATACCGCTTCCGTGGCAGTAGGCGGTGGCACATAATCATCATCGCTGTGGTCGAGATCTGCGATCAACCTCGGGTGCGAATACCGGTTGAACCATTCCATGTAGTAATGGTCACACATGGGAGTAACCCCAGAGGGCGGCCGCTGCAACTCCGCAGTCCATAAGCGGGCCACCATCGGAAACTGGTCCCACGTCCCGGTCATGATATCCGATCATTGCACGACGTAGTCCCTCGACGATGCAGGTCGGACCGCCTTCATCGGGCATGCCGGGGGAGGAGGGACAACTTGGACAAATCCAAGCTGGCGAAGACAACGCTGGGGCATGTACGCCTCGACGATCTCACGATACTGAATGAGTCCCGTGTACAGGGTCCTGGGTAATCTAACACTAGGGTTCGGGCCGAAAGGCATCCAGTTCACCTGTACAATAACAACATATAAAATTTAATAACATGAATATAATATGTGCAAATAATAAAATGTAGAAACAATTTATAAACGTTACCTCTAAGGGGGACAGCCTGTCCAGCAATAACCGTATCGATCGGAGGCGGTCAACGGACTTCTTCTCCGAGCGCGGACTCCACGCACAAGCACGCGGCATCCCCTCATCAATAGGAACTGGGTCACGATGTGGTCGCAATGCAGGAAAGTACTCGTATATCCAGGTCTGCAATAGAGTCAGACACCCAGTGATACCTGCCGCGTCAGCCCGACTCGCAAATCCTAGTTGGCGATACAAATACGCCAACGTAGCCGATCCCCAGGAAAACTGGCCTACACTGTCGGGGTCACACGCCTCTACTATGTCGCGTGGCCTGATCTTGTTTCCGCCGCTCTTATCCGGAAACAAGGTACATCCGAGGAGTAGAAAAACATAAGCACTCAGCTGTGCGTCGTGCGTCCTACGTGCACTGGGGTACAAACACCGCTGCAACACGGATGCGATCTTCACACCTCCGTGTTCCCAAACACCTAGCGCCTCGGTGTACAGTGCAACCCTGTCCACCGCCAACAACTCCGCCAGCAAATCTGTCTGATCCGCATCAGCCACAGCACAAAGTCGTTTACCCTCAACACGAATCCCCAGAATGGCCTCGACGTCATGTAACATGATCGTCATCTCACCGAACGGAAGGTGGAAAGAGTTTGTATCCGCCTGCCATCGCTCAATGAAAGTCGTGATCAGCGTACTGTCAATCTTATCGTGCATGGTGGCAGGAACGTGATTCACCCCAGTGCCCTCCAGTCGCTCGAACATCTCGCTCTCCGCCGGCCAGGCCTCAGCCCATGTACGCAAAAAGCTACAAGTCTTTTCCCGGGTATGACATTTCAACAACCCCGTAACTGAAGGCCTCTCCTGGTCCTCCCAAATACGGGCAACTATGTGTCCTAGAAAGCTAGGAATCACACTCCCGTCAACAGGCCCACCGGGCACCTCACTCCTAACAACCCAAGAATCATTACCGGCCCTCGACCGTTTCCTGCTTGCCCCAGATACAGTGGACGCAGATGATGTGCCAGATCTACTAACAAACCTACCACCCCTACCCTTACGCACCTCCACCATATGTGTCTCGTACATGTCATCAACCCTCTGACTAAATGGACCGTAATCATCATACGGTCCACTGCCATCGTCCACATCCTCATCCTCATCTGCGCCCTCCTCCTGCTCCTCCTCCTGGTCACCCTCCTCAGCATCATCATCGTCATCGTCATCCTCATCCCGACGGTGGATCCGTTCTCTACGAGCTGAGGCCGAAATACCACGGGATCTGACATGTCTATGCCCCGACCTCTCCACTGAATAGCTTCTACTAAGAAGCTCTATATTCTTCCCCGCACCATGACGACCCAGTGAATTCTACACAAAATTTTAAAATATATAAACATACAAAAATTTATACGATAAATAGCTACCACTCCCAAATCAAATAAATTAAAAACATACAAATAATTGTAAACAAAATATAAACATAGAAAAAATACAACGAAATTGAAAAATTTTATAAAAATAAACAACAAAATATAAAAACAATTCAAAAATATATTACACAAAAAAAAAAACAATATTTTAAAACAAATATAAAAAAAAAAAATGGGGGGGGGCGCCTTGGCTGGACGCCCAGCCAGCAGTGGTGGCGCCAGCTGCAGACGCCGCCACCAGTGGGCTGGCGCCTGGGCTGGACGCCACAGCCACGGCTGCGGCGCCTTGAATAAACGCCACTATCGTGGCTGTGGCGTCCAGCCCAGGCGCCAGCCTACTGGTGGCGGCGTCTGCAGCTGGCGCCACCACCGCTGGCTGGGCGTCCAGCCAGGGCGCCCCACCGCCGTCACGGCGGTTTTTCCCTTTTTTTTTTTTTACAAATTGTACCTTTCCTCCTTGGGACATCCTTCCCTCCGCCGCCGCCGTCAATTCCTTGCCTTGCCGCCTCGACATTGTCGTTGTTTGAAATTTTTTTTTTTTTTAGAGAGGTTGAAAGAAGATGAGCAATGACAGTGTGAGTGATGAGAGTGTGAGTGTTTTTTTTTTAAGGTCAAGGACAATTTTGTCAAACCAAGTAAATTTTGTGGGCTTTATGTAGTAATTTGTGGGCGATGTTTAACAAATCCCATTTTTTTACTATTGATGGTTGTTTTTACTATTGATGGTGTTTTTTTTTTTTTCCTTTTTTTTTTAAAAAAAAAAAAAAAAAACAATGATGGGCCTATTTTTACTATTGATAAAAAGGTGTGACAGTGTGGTGCCTAATTGTGAAATATTTTATACAAATCCTGACGTACCATGCACCAACTAATTCAAAATTAGTTTTAGCTTTTCATTTCATGATTAAATGAAAATCAATCATCAAAATTTAAACAAAATGTTTATGGGTGTACTATGCTTATATAACAATCTCTTGCTTAATTGTTAATGAATTTTGGTTATAATACTCATTATTACTAGTATTTGATCCATCATATAAACAATACAGTTCACTTCTGGGCACCAACGTTCAAATGGGGCCTTAGCATAGCAAATATTGCGGATTTTGCCAAGCCACCTGAGACGATTTCGTACCCTCAGCAAATCGGTTAGCCTATATAACACTTATTTTCGACGTGTTTGGATAGCAATGTGGTAGCAAAAGGGAAGGGAAAGCGAGAGCATTACTCTCGACCCCTCCCCTTTCTACTAAAATCCCATCGTCCAAACACATTGTTAATGATATAAAGTATTCTTGCATATTTGGTCTTATGTTACATAGACTTTTAGTCCCAATTCAATAGTCTAAGGGTACGGCAGATCATGTCGATTTTTGCTTACAGTCGTAGCAGCCTCAGGACTTATTTGGACGCGGTATGACATGGTTATTACACCGGTAAGACTGTTTAGTATTCTCATACTGGTTTCTATATCTCTTACTCTTCTTATGTTAAGTTTTGTGTTTAATTTGCAGAGAAACTGGAATTTGTGTAGCGTAAATTTTGCAATGTCAATGACAGGGTTGTGTCAACTTACTAGGAAGATTGGGTAATTTTATGAATCATTACTCTTATCTCTACTCCTTTTTACCACTGTCTTTGTGTATTTGGAGTTTACATATTTGTAACCCAAATGTGAAATGTCTAGCCCTCTATTTTTAAAAGTTAGGTCACATTTGATCGACGGTCAATTGAAAGGAAGTTAGTTGAGATAACATAATTATTCTTCACTTTTCATAGAATGTTAGTCGAGATTGTGATAAACTAAAATAGAAATGTGGCCTATTATTTAGAGATGGGTGGAATATCTTTTCAGATGGACTAAGCTAACCACTTCAATTGACCGGATCCAAATTTTTTACATTCTTAAAAAGTGATTTTGCCATTTTCATTGATGATAATTTTGATGAATTGGCATTTGGCAGGTATGACATCTCTAATGAGAGAAAAACAACTGTTGTAAAGGAATGATCGATACAAAGTTACTAATCCTTGGAACAAAAATCACCATCTCTAGTATACTTCATTTGATTCCTGCTCTTGACACTTCGATCAAATTCGAAAAGTAAACTCAAACTTTCTATACATGCTACCAAATGGAGAAGCTTCATTAGAGTTTATTTAGTTATTTACGGAAACTTTGGAATTGATATGAAGGTTTGTTAAGGAAGATTGTATAAACTTGTTGCATATGTAATTCTAACATTACAATTTACATAATTTCATATTTTCTTCTAATGTAGTAGAATTGTAGAAATTTATGGTATGATAAAGATTTTCAATTGCGAATTTCTTAGAATTAAATTATATGGAGTAAATGTTTGCCTATTAAGGGTTTGACAATTTGATTTATTCTGACATGAATTCTGATTGCTATATCATGTTCCTCTTCCGGCCATTAAAAAACTAAAATTACGCAAGTACTGGTTTATTATCAAATGAAATTACAGTATCGATGAAAGTACTCTAATTTTAATGTGCCTCAAGTTCATTGACAGACTCTAATTTTTATTTTTTATGTGCCTCAAGTTCATTGACAAACTCTAATTTTAATATAATCAAATTTTATAAAAACAACGTTTTAACCATGAGAAATCATCTAAGTAAGTTTTTATATTTACATTTTTGAGACAAAAAGATTTAAAATGGTTATTTTTGTTTTAATTGTATTATTCTATGACATTTATACAAAATTAATAAATCGGTTATTTATGTTTTAATTGTATTATTCTAAGACATTTATACAAAATTAATAAATCAAGATGGTTTTTAATGTAAAAATCCACTGTATTTTTTGGGTGTGCTTGTTTGTCACGAATTTAACAACAACGTTGTTTTCGTCAACTATAAAATTAAAATATTGGTAATACTTCTACTATTTATAATTTTATAGGTAATTAGGGTGGCTAACACGCGCAATGCGCGCATAGCTAGTAATATTAGGGAACCACTTTCGGTTTGACCTTACGTCACAATTTTAGTTGTTAGTAGCATTAGTGAAAGGAAATATGTAAACAAATATTTTTTTTAGGGGTATAAATGTCTGCTCACTATTCTTAAGAAGTAAAAATCGAGAAAACTAACATTAATGAGGGCAATTAAGTTAGTAAACATATTAGAGGGTATAATTATTCAAACACTATTAATAAGAGTTATGCCATACTTTTTAAAAGGTAGGGATACCGTAATACAGATTACATAGTAAGACTCTATCAAAGAACGAGCCTAATTGTCTAATTTGTATGATCACTGTTTCGGGGTTTTTTGATGTGTCCTGCGGGAGAGTTACAATTCCAAGAATGCCCTTCGACCGTCTGTACCTGCAAAACCACGAAGACTCCGGTTGGGTGGAGCTCCGCCTCCGACGATCAAGTCAGTGATTGTACGGGAGGAAGAAAGTGCGTAAAAAGGGTAATTACTTCTCGCGTAATGGGAGAATTCCGCAATTACGATTGCTCGGGTTTTGTGTAAATTGTATTTTTGATTGTATTAAATACCAATTGAATGTAAGTGTCCCATTAATGAGGACTCCCCCACTATTTATAGTGGGGAGCATTGGTTCCCCATTTAGGGTTCCTAGGACACGTGTCAGCAGGGGATTGGAGCTCTGCTGAACAATAGCAAAATGCCACGTGTCGCGCTGTCATTGGGCCACGTGGCTGGGGTAATTTTACCCCCAAACATTTGCCCCTCTCAGGTGCTGACGTGGCAAGGTGCCACGTGGCACCTGAGAATAGAGCTGACGAAAATATATATATATATATATATATATATATATATATATATATATATATATATATATATATATATATATATATATATATATATATATATATTTTTTTTTTTTTTTTTTTTTGAAATCCCTTCAAATTCTAACTGAAGGAAGAGGGAAAAGCAGAAGGGGAAGGGTCGCGCCCCTTCGCCTTCCGGGACAAACCCTATAAATAGGGGAGGAAGCACACGAAGCCTCATTTACAAACTTCGTGAAATTTCTTGAATTTTGAGAGCATCCGGCACTTGAAATTCAGAGCACTCGGAGACTTCATTGTTTTAAGAGCAGCCGATTTTCAGACCGCCTGTGCAGTAGCAAGTAAGAAAAAGATTTTTGAGAGGGTACCTCAGTGAACCCAGCCGGTATTCAAACCGCCTGTGTCTTCGCAAGCATCCCCAAGAAATTTCTTGAGGTTTTCAACACTTTACTTTAGGTACCGTCTCTATTCTTTCTTGCTTTTCCATGTATTTCCGTTTGAGTCTTTTGCTTGCATTTTTGTTTACAAGTCCCATAGGTAGATGGACCCTTTATACCCATACCCGGACCATAGTTGTGAACTCAGTCGGTCAATTAGTATGGTTGAGTCTAGAACTGGATCTGCCGCCTCTGATCTTTGGAATTTCCCCTTTTCAACGCCTGTATCGACCGACTCCGTGTCTGTGCAGGACACCATGGCCAGAATTAGGGGAACAGCTATGGACCCCAATTACAGAGGCGGGGACTCGAACGAGTTATCGCCTGAAACTCGAGGCCCAGACGGGGAGGTTAGAGAACCATCTAGCGGTACCCCCGCCACCCCAAGCGATAGCATTCTGGGCTCCTACAACGAGGAGACCTCTCCGGCTGAGGAGGCTGAGCAGCCAAGAGCAGCCTATGATGCTCCCAACTCCCCAGCCGGTTCCGATGACGGACGGGCTGAAAGTAGTGGCTCTAGCTACTTAACCGTATCAGAGGATAGCGAGGAGGCGGAGAGGCCTTCGTGGCAAAGCCAAAACGACCCTCTCATGATCGCCGTATCCCTAAAGGACCGTGCCCTCATGCGGTCTTCCCTTCTAGACTTTATTACCAGGCGGCCGCTTGGTGAAGGGTACAGGATGACCGTGCCGGGGGAGTTCGGGACGGTTGTATGGGAGGATGACCAGCCCAACGCTAACAGCTGGTTTGGATGCTACGAGGCGGCTTTCCTAGCCGGCGTCCGCTTCCCCCTTCACAACACAATCAGGGCCATACTTAGGGGGTATGCCCTTGGAATTTGGCAACTCACCCCAAATTCTTGGGTGAATATTTTAGGGTACATCACCGCCTGCGAGATGCAGGGTCTCAACCCCGGCTGGGAGGCGTTTTCCCATATGCACTATTTGAGCCGGAGCCCAGGCGGCTGGAGGGCCTGGTATACCTTGACTACTCACCCCAAATATATGATGACCTTGGACAAGCCGTCCAAATGGTCGGATTGGAAGAACCGGTTCTATCTGGTCAAAGCTCCGTCTGAAGAGGAGAACAAGGAGTACCGGACCTACAACCGGAAGCCAGAGCTTTTGAGGCAAAAGTGTCGGCTGCCCCCTGTTCCTGATACCGACCGGGTGGCCATTCTGGACTCTGGTTTCTTCGAGCTGACCTCTACCTCTCTCACATCCGGAGAGATAATAAGGGTACCCAAGAACTGGGTGCCCAAACACGAATTTTTCAAGGATGAGTGCTTCTTATCCGCTTGCGGGCTTAGCAGCATGTGGAAAACCAAAGGTTACGAGCCCTAGCCGGTTAATTTATTGTCGGCTGACCTTTTTCTCTATTGCAATGTGATTCATATTTCTGACCGGATGTATTTTTGTTTTGCAGAAGAAGCTAAGAAGATGCTACCTTCCGCCAAGACACCCGCAAGGAAGGCTTCAGATATCCGCAAGGAGAATCTGGAGAAGAAACTTGCCGCTCAGGCGGCTAAAAAGGTTAGACCGCCTGACCTTCTCTATGTGCTTGGCTTTTTGATGTTGCTTTGGCTAGTTATTCATCTAACCGCTTGTGGTCTTGTTTCAGGATGGGGGTGTTATTCCCCGTTCCTTGCAAAAACAGATCCGGCCAAGGCCGTCTGTAGAAGAACCGGCACTCAAGGTGCCAAGAACTGCTTCTACCGACCGGGCTACTACCGGCGGTAAAACAATAAAGACCCCAGGCGGGTCTAACACTGAGAAGGCCTTAGAGTCCACTCCAATAAGGACCGCAACCGGTCCATCTGCTTCTGGAAGCCAAAAGGCTTCCCAAAAAGGTACAAACCCCTTTGATCTCACATCGCTCGACATACCCATGCGGGTAAAATCGTACTCCTCTTCGCAGCCGGGAGATTCTCCGATCAGCCGGCTGTCCGTTGGTGGAGCGTACGCAGCATTCTCACCGTCTGTTTCTGGTGCAGATAACTCACCACGCTGGCCGGACGCTGCTCAATACGTCCGGGCCATGCAGAAAGCCGTCCCCCGGGACGAGAAGGAGGCGATTCCTGGAATCAATACCTTCAACGCCGACCGGGTTATGGTCGACCTAGCCGATGTAAGTCACTGAGTGCCCACCCAGCATATAATTTTTAATAAACCCATCCGGTCTTACAACTAATACCGGTTGCATTTTTGTTGCAGGCACTGCTCCGCGTGGAGGGGCTTAAGAAGGCCTACATCCGCAAACAGGAAGAGGTAAGAAGAGCCAAACGTTCTGCGGATGACGCACATAGCGTTGCTCACTATTCCATGATTGTGCATGACTTAGAAACTAAAGCTATAATCATGCAACAGGCAGATCACGTCAAGTCCCTCCAACGAGCCCTCTCCGAGTCCAAGCTCAAAATCGATAACCTCCAAGCGGCCTTGGATAACGCTGAAGATGAGCTTAAAAAGCATGAAGAGCCCCTCAAGCGGCTCGACCAGGCGGAGAAGAGCAGCAAGCGGCTGCAATTAGAGAATGACCGCCTGGTCAAGGAGGCTGCCGATGCTCAGCGCAATTTCCAGTCCACCTTAGAGGCTGATCAGAACCGGCACATAGAGGAGAATGAGCAGGACTGCCAGAAAAGAATGAAGAGGGCGTTCTCCATCATCCACCCGGGTGCAAACTTCAACGTCTGGGAGCTCGCCTATAAATATACAGACCTGGTCATTCTGGCTGAAGAGGAGGACCAGCCGGGGCCAGAACCGTATGAGCAGTGGGTGGAAGCCGAGTTCCAGCGAATGTAGGCGGAAGCGGCTGCTTTGGAGACGACAGTCGAAGATGAGGTTGCTCCCGGCTCCGTCCCCAACACCGACCTAGCTCATCCGGAACGGGGCCAAGGTCAGGGCGACCGGGTAACAGTTAATGTAGAGTAGCAACGACCTCCCGGCCTGCGCGCCGTTCATTATCTTGTAATAGCGCCGGAAGGGTCGGACTACTCTGCTATTGTCTTCTATTTTGAGCATTAATATTTTCACCGGCTGTGCCGGTTTATCTTTTTGTAAACAATTTTAACATTTTCACCGGCTATGCCGATTATTTCTGCTAT